ATCAGCTTTGCATGAGTCTCCTTTGAAAATGCTTTGACCCTAACCAAATATAAGCATTTCCCATACTGGATATTCGTATTTTGCAGACTGTGGTATTATTAAAGAAAAATGTGGGTAATTCAAGGTTCCTCCCTTTTGTAAGTGTTTAACAAGAATATAAAGTTTTAATTACACTTGTGTTTTTAATCACTTATTGTAGGAGGTGATTTGTAGTAACTGAGGTTAGTTACTTCATGTTGTCGCGTGTCTTTCCTTTTTTCAGTGAAATCAGATGCACGTTGCACTGTTGTGGGTGGAACAATCTTCAGTGCTGTGTAGCTGAGCTGTGGTTTCCTGGATAATGCCGAAACCAATTAAGATGCTAAATTGGGCTTTATTTCCATGCTTTGGAATTTTCATGGCTTTTCACAAGAATGCTTTAATTTGCTTTGAGTTTTCTAAAAAGCTTGACATAAACAAAAACTGTCAGTGATTAAAATAATACACGTAGGAATGTTATTTTTAAAAGTATAGCTATCAGATTAAAGGTGAAGGCTTACTGGTAACATTTCATTGCTTAGGCAGACTTTAGCTTTTGTGGTTGTTTTTTACTTTGGTATTTACTGTACTGGATTCAGCTAGAAGGCTGCTAAATAAATTGTCCTATTTGATTTGCACCAACAATCCTTTTAAATACTGCTAGTGTTTGTACCCTCTAGGGTCCAGGCAATGCAACATTCTTGTTCAAAGGCAGCAGACTTCTGCAGTAGTCCCACATGGCCATGTCCAGTTTTTGGGATTTATATGCAAAGGAGGGATTTTTTCTTTTTGAGTTGCAGTGGTAATACAGGCTTGTGAGATATAGCGGGCTGCTATCCTGTACAAGACCTGCTGGGCTGCGATTCTCCAGGATTAAGACTAGCTACCCCTGGTGTAAACATTGGGTGTTCCTTTAATATTGTCACAATGTACCTTCTCATAAATCAGTGCAAGTGGTATATATATACAAGGTTATATATATATAGTGTGATGTGTGTGTGTATACATATAAGGTAGAAACTTTGGGGCCTTTTGTCCATCTAGCCATTCTGGTGGCTAGTAGCAAATAGATCCAGGTAATACATAATTGTTTTAGCTCCCTTTTTTCCAGTTTTTAAATATACAAACCACTACGATATCTTTTAAATGTAATAGTAGTTCTTCCCTGAAAGTTGTAGTTTGCAAGGCATTCCATTGCTCGTCAAGTTTGTCAGGGGGCATAACCCGAGAAAAGCAAACAATTGCTGTTTGCAGTTGGGATTCTTTGTAGTTCAATGTGGTATAAATAGGTCATTTATGAGGAAAAAAGATTAAAGCTAGTCATTTTTCTCTTAAGTCCTTCGGTAAAAGTAGGATGTGGTGTGGGCCCCTCCATGCAACAATCCTTTAGTTGAAGAAGAGTCCTGTTTTGGGCCAGCTGCTTGTTTTTGTCTTTTGGAGCTGACAGCTTTCCACTGGAGTCAGGTGGTAAGCTCTCAGAGGTGCTTAATTATAGCCCCAACAGGGTTGCTAAGATGCAAACAGGGATGCCCCATAGGTAAGGCAAGACAGAGTTACTGTTGTGCTGCCAGAAAACGCAGATGTGGTGGGGCCAGGTGGAAAATAGAGGTCCAGGGAAGGAAATATAGAATAATTATTTTCTTCCGATCTTTTGAATACATGTGTTCATGATTATCGCTCTTGTCCACTGCTCCCATGATGCACAGCAGTGCACATTCACCATTGTAGAGCCGACGCTTGTGAAAGTGAACTCAGGAAACCAAGAAAAAAAATTAAGGTTATTGCATTAAAGCTTATGAATAGGTAAATTTTTCAGAATGACTTGTCCAGAGACTTGATAATTGTGTACAGATACTTTATTTTAAATAAGTTTACATATTTATGCCCTGAAAGATTAAATGCACTGAAAATGAGTTTCAGAATTAGTTCTTGGCTTGAACAAAAGTATGAACGCTTGACATATCCTTCGCATAGCCTTCTTCTCATTCCACTCTGCTCCATCAGAAACGGCACCGGACGCCGGCCTTTTAAAATGAGCTATGACTGACAGTTGTTCAGCTGTTCCTTAACAGTATTTATTCCATCTCTTACATGATCATTTCACCCCTTCCCAACAGCTGGAATGGCAAAATCTAAAGGGTTGGTGACTTCAAACAATTAATTTTGATTAAAAAGGGTAATTGCAAGACTTATTTGTATATAAAAAGCCGCCAGCACCCTTTGACTAACGGAGCAAAGGAGACAACATTGAATGATTTTTGGGAACAGCATTTTTATTCATCTTCGAGTAGCAGTTGAGTTATGAGTATGGTTGCGTTATTGTTGCTCTTTTTAGGAAGTGCATGTCAGAAAAAACCACTACCTCTCATTGACTTTTCTGGATTCATCTGTTGGAATTTCCACTGTTTATTTCCTCATTGACAAGCAAGTGAACAATAGGCGTTCGTTGGCGAACTGTGGAATCCAGAGCTTGCTCTGAGAACAGGAGTGTAGCTAGTTCTTGCACTTCAGGATATACTCCCCTCTTAGAGCATAATGTTTGTTCTTGGGCTGAGTTCAATAAGCTGAGATGGACATTGCTGTTCAGACAGAGCGCTTTATGATGGTATGAAAAACAACCTAAGTGGGCTTATAAAGTATTGCTCAGAAATGAAGACAAGGAACAGATGACATTTGTTGCAGTCAGGGTGAAAAGTACAGGCTGATTTGTTTTTAACAGAATCAATAAGAAAGATGGGAAAACCTGTCAGATATTCACCTGATAAGTCCCCCAGTAGCTTCTTGATACACACATGCTGCTTGACTTAGACAGCTGACTTTGATGTCATTAATACTAAAAAGCTAGAGATGTCAGAATCTCCGTTTAATGTGATTTTGCACTTTTACTGAAATGCTGTCATAACAAGAGGGAACCTGAAGTGTAATTTAAATAACCGCATTTTTTATGACTTCATAGTTTGTAACATGCAGTTAACACCATCTGTGGAAAGGGTTAACAAAGCAGTGACTGGCTTCCATGACTGGCCTGCTCTCCAAGGTCACCATGATGCAGCAGGTATTAAAAAGTCATTCTGAGTGCATTGGGTAAAATCAAAAGTTTGTTTATTCAGTAAACAAAATGGTTGTCACAGTGGAGCTAGCACTAGTTGCTGGTATAAAAATAGCATCTTAGCTATTCCTGTGTCGTTTTTCAGTAATATGGATCAGGTTACAATACGCTGCCCCTGGTACTGATATGATTTGGCTCTTTGTCATATAACAGGATTAAAGACAATTATTTCTGCACTCCTTTCTGCACATGCAGTGCTCTACTTGTGTAGCATATTTGTTTTCATTACGTTATTCTTCTAGGCATGATTTATTCATGGTGTGGGACAAAGGGTTGTTTTGGCCCTGAGAACATAGCTAAACCTCTTGCTGTATCAATATAACCTTTCATAGTTTATTAAAGTCAGATAATGGATGATATAAATGCAACTGATATTTTTTTCCCTCTAATTTTCATGTCTTGTGAAGAAAAGTAATTAAGGAATGGAATAGCAGTGTTGGGTGCAGATTAGTCTTTCTAGACTGGAGACTTCATTTAAATGTCCAGAACCTTTCGTGTGACTTGGAGTTGATGGTTATGTGTGAAAGAGGAAAGGCTCAAGGGTTATAGTTAACTACAATAAATAGTATGGTCAGTTGCATGCTTTCTTTACTCTTTAACATGGACTGGTACTGGCTTGTCATTTTGCAGAGAAAGAGGTAAACATATGTGACAGAATTTAACAGAACTGAAAATTTAATTATTGTGTACATTTTGTTGCCGTTTTTGTTTGGCCAGGTGGCCCGTTAGCCTGTATACAACTGTGGGAAACCACGCCTACCACCTGTAATTTGAGAGTTTTATAGTGCTCTTTATCAACATTTTTCTGAAAATCTGTATTCATCCTATTTAATTATATGTGTCCCATACTGTTGCTGTACAGAACATGTTGGATAAGCAACACCTACCTTTTCTAAATCCATGTTGACTATCCCCTAAAATAGCTTTTTCATATAGGTGTTTCACTGGTTTACTTCTAATTATTGTTTCCATAACCAAACGTGTTGAGGAAGTCAGTTTAATTGGTCTATAATTACTTGTTTTGACATTCTTTTTGTGAATAGGCAGTACATTAGCACTTCTCCAGTCCACAGGTACTGTCTCTGGCTTGACTGATGCTTGGCAGAGTTGCGTTAATGAATAACTTCTCATATTTTTAGGTACGATAGTTAGGATACCATCGGGCTATGGAGATTTGTCAGTCGAGAGTGCTTCTAATAACCCAGACACATCTGCCTATTCTATGGTACTATTGTTTAATCGAGAATTTTCTTCCACTGTGCGAGGCACGTTGTTGATTTCTTCCTTAGCGAACACCTGAGTAAAATATTCATTTAGTATATCGGCCATTTCCTTTTCATTGTCTTGGAAGTTTCCTGTTATTGTCCCAGATCCGTTGTGATTCATCCTTTATGGTTCTTTTGTTGTAATTCTAACAAACTTTCATTATGTATTTTAGCCTTCATTAGAATATTGCTTTCTGCCTCTCTCACTCTTTCTGTTATCCCTTTTTTCCTGTACTTTTCTTCTTTAACTGGATTCTTTGATCACAAAAAAAAATTGAAGTGCTTTGTATTTTAGTGTACTCGTCCTTAATGATTTGGTGAACCATGTGGGCTGCTGTTTTTAGCTTTTGACTTCGTCGCTGATAGAGAGAGTTCCCTAGCAGGATCCCTTCTCCACCAGCTCTGTATCTCTCCTATCACATTTGACTTTTCGTGCACTTTCTCATTCCTTCTCATTCATGTCTTTCCTGAGGATCCTTCAAATTTCTAGAACGAGCCCGTATGCAGATATTTAAAATATGATGATGTACATGTTGATTACTGATCTCTTTATTATATTTTGTAAATATCCTGCCGTTTACCACCTCTCGCCGCCTTTTGTCTTTCAGGCCCGGATAGCATTCTTACAAGGAGAAAGAAAGGGTCAAGAGAACTTAAAAAATGATCTAGTAAGAAGAATAAAAATGTTAGAGTATGCGTTAAAGCAAGAAAGGTACGTCTTGAATATCTTTTACTTGCTCACCTCATGCGTCCTACAATTTTAATTTTCTTCTGCACATTCCCAGTCTCTTGGTTTGTACTCTGGGGTTATGTTTAGTTCTATGAAACTTGTTCAGTATTACGGACAGACCCTCGGACATGGTAGCCAATGCATGTTATGTAGTTTAAGGACATTTACCACACCATGCTTACAAAGCAAAATGTGTTGTTGGGCAGAATGCCAGTTCATAGTAATTGAAATTCTAGAGGCCCTACTGGAGTACCGGAAATGGTTCAGATTTGCTTACCTGGAGAGTAATATTTGCATGAGGATATAAAGCAGTGGAACTCTCAATAGGAGGACTTGAAAGAGGAAGTTGGTAGTTTGAATACAGAAGGATGCAGAGAATTGTTTTCAAGGAATGCAAAGAAACAAAAGGGCTACATTTACTTGTTACACTCAGTTTAGTTTTCGTTGTATTTGTTTAGGTTATGAATCACTATTAAAAACTGTTTTGGGTTTGCTTGCTATTTTATGTGGAACTTGGAGGAAACATAGTAGGATAAGATAGAGATCATAGGTTTTTGAGCTGTTAAAAGATGACTATTGCATATATTTGTCTTGCTCTGCATGTGGTTTTGGATTAATAATTTGAAATAATTCTGCTTATTTTTGCATAAAACCAAATGATTCTGTTAGCTGGTTTTGAAATGCTATTGTGCTGTCTTTGTTTTCCTCTTACAGGGCAAAGTATCACAAATTAAAATACGGAACAGAACTAAATCAGGGTGACTTAAAGATGCCAGCCTTTGAATCAGGTAATAGAGTTTATCGTCATTTTTTAATTGTCTTACAAAATTGTGAAGGGAGTTAGTAAATTGTCCTCATGGAGACTGTCCTAAAAAAGCTCTTCCATCAGCACATATGTAAATAAATATTCTGAATAATAAAAGGGGTAATGTAACATCTTGATTTTAATGGATGCACGTGCTTACGTCTTAGTCCCTTATAGAACTTTTTGTCCACCATTATATCATTGCATCCAATTAAAATGTAGTCCTATACTAACTGTTCATAAACTTTATATGAAGATACTGGACCATAGATAAAACCTGAACCTTCCAGGTGAAAAGGGTTATTCAACCTCATTTGTTGAATGTTCCACCAGTCCTATCAGGATTAAGTGATATGCCAAAGCTTTTTTTCTTCTCCCCTGCTCTGTATGGGTTTGGATACATTTGGTGAATTTACCAAGAGTCAAACTGGTCAAATAGTAGTTAATAGGAGGAGTTTTTATCCTTCAACATCCATTTTTTATTGGTTAATACTGAGCTGAATCTCCTTAAAGTCCTGATGGCTTTCTTTTCCCCACACTTTCAGAAGAAACCAAAGACTCAGAAGTTCCAGCAGTTCCTCAGAACAGCCAGTTAACGTGGAAACAAGGCAGACAGTTGCTTAGACAGTGAGTAAAAAGCATATACTGTGAATAGTTTTTCTTCCAAGACCTGTCAAAATAAGTTAACAGATTCATTACTTTGTGATGTCTTTTGCATGGGTTTATTCTCATATCGTATAATACAGTTTATATACTTTTTATCTTTATATAAATCCGATATTTATTAAGCTGTTTTGGCAATCAACTTTTAACCTTTAAGCTTTGTTGTTTTTTCTGCATTTCAGATATCTTCAGGAAGTAGGTTACACAGACACGATATTAGATGTCCGATCTCAAAGGGTGCGATCTTTACTAGGTTTGTCAAGCTCTGAGCAAAATGGCTCAGTAGAATCAAAAAACCTGGAACAGATTCTCAATGGAGGAGAGTCTCCTACAAAACAAAAGGGACAGGATTTAAAAAGGTATGTGACTCAGTTCAGCAATCACATGACTCTTGGGTCAGACTTACTAATAAAGAAGTGTTTTGGTGGAATAGGAAAGGTAACTCCTCCCTCAACCAAAGTTTAGCAGGTAGCCTGCGGTGTTTTTTTAATTGCCTTAGACCGTCTGCAGGTTGATTACATAATACCCATAGTTGATATTACGTAGAAATTGGGTATCTTTGTCGAGTAGGACTTCTTAAAAAGAGATCCTGCAAACAGAAAATTTTGGAAAGGAACCCCTGGTTAGATGAAAGGTTCATTTTTTCTCTGTACTCTGAGATTTTAGTTTCTGATGAATCATAAATTGGCATGTTTACTTCAGATTACTAACTGCAGCTTCAGATAGTTTGAAATTTCTTTAACAACATATGTAGGAATACTGTTTTTGTTTTTTCAGCTGGTGAGTGAAAGTTGGTGCACAATCGCTATGTCACAGTATGTGTGTTACAGGAATCCAGGAGATGTTCTGGAAACATTTAACTTCTTAGAAAATGCAGATGACAGTGATGAAGAGGATGAAGATGAGGGAGATCTTGTAGATGATATCACGGATGGAAAGGAAAAGCACAGAATTAACAAGAGGCATAAAATCAAGGTATTCTTGTTACTCTTAACAGTCAGCAAAATTAATTTTCTCCAGTCATTGTGACTTACACTTTACCTTAGATCTGATTTCAGCAGACCACTGATTGAAAAGAAAAGGTTTTAAATTTATTTCACTTCAGTGTGTACTTTTATTGTTACATATGATTAAACAGAAGTCTTAAAATGTAAAATGTGGGTTAAAATATTCCAAAAATATTTTTCATAACCTTCAATTCTCCTTTCATGGATTTAGAAGTGTGCATTTGTAACCATTCTCCACAAAATTCTTCTTGAAGTTTCATTTAATACGTAGAAGGTGCCCTGGTTTGCCTTGATTTAAAGTTTCTAGTTTCTCACCTAAATTGTTATCCAGTATTGGGTGATAATTGGGGGGGTTATGTTTAAACAAAATAAGTGAGAAATCCCATTAAAATGTGCTTTTAATGGGTGGTTGATGTAGGTAACAGTGCACTTTTACAAGGATTTTAAAGGGATAAAATATTTCAGAAGGAATATTGTTCGTCTTTTGTCCAGTTGCAGGCTGTAATTGTGAGCTGCAGTAATTTCTTGCTGTGACGTGCAGTACATGAGGCTATTCTGACGTTTGCAGATTGGCAATGAGGGACTGGCGGCGGACCTCCCCGATGACCAGGACACAGAGGAGGCCCTCAAGGAGTTTGATTTCCTAGTGACCGCAGAAGACGGGGAGGGCGCCGGGGAAGCCAGGAGCTCGGGCGATGGAACGGAGTGGGGTAAGGCTGCCCGCTGAACACCGTGCTTCCCATAGTCCCCTAAAGGAAGAAGGACAGGAGACGTCTTCGTTTTTTGTTTTGTCTCTCTTTTGTGAGATTGGTTTTCCTTTTGTGTTCCACCTTATCACGAAGGAAGGAATGCATTGAGTTTATAAACAGAACACAGTGTATTAATTGCTTTGCTTTAAATCGCCTAAAAAAAAAGTGGTTATATGAGACATTTGTATTAAAACGGATGTGTAAACTTGCATGTGGTTTACGCTTTACAGGATTTTTTATTGTTCAGTTGTAGTCATTTTTCACGTTCAGATTTTGCAATAAATACTCAAATGATATGAAGGTTTTAATGCAGTTATAATCCAAACTTATTGGAAGTTTATCTTACGCTGTAATAACAAAGTGCAGTATAACACAGGTTGTCTGTAAAGTGTTCCTGCTGTTGTGATAATATTGTTGCTTTTTATTTTAACAAGATCAGGTCATGACTTACTAACTCGCAGCTTGAGTGCTTGAGAAATTGAGATTACAAAGTCAATTTTTCTTCTGTTTTCTTGCTTCTGAAGCTGGGTCAAAATAAGTTAAAATGTTCCAGTGCAGATGTGGAGACACTTTAGGTGGTTTAACCATGGCAAGTCTTTTTTTTGTTTTTCCAGTCTGTAGTGTGGCGTAAGAGGCACATAACTAGAAATCTGTGCTTCTGAAGTTGATTTGAATTGTGTTCTGTGCATATCTGTGGTTTGCTAATTATGGTTGTACTTCTGTGTGTCGTGCAATACCGGCTACACGTTTGATGTCATGAGAGGGGCATAGCTGAAGCATTACATCTCTGTTTTGTAACAGGTGTTTGTTTGATTTGTAATTTTTTAAATGTTGCAATTAAAAAAATCCTAATGCATTAAACATAATGCATTACTTGTCTAGAGATGTTCAGACATTGCCTTTGAAGTTGTGGGAGTCAGTGAGTGTACCCCGATCCTGGACTTCCATTCTAGTTCTTGTCTACTATTGTGAGATTAGCCTGGGTTTATTGGCTTTTGGGTTACACCCATATGGGGAAACCCAACTTTCTGATGAATCTCTGTCCAAGCCTCACCAGGGATCTGGTCGAATTCTCAGTTGGTATGGTTTCAGAGTCAACATTTTAAACATATTTGCACCTCTGTGTTCCTTCTTTTCCTGTCTTAACTGCCAAGGACCCCTGATTTATCTCTTCTTATTTAATGATTAAATTACTATTAATCATTATGAAAAATTAAAGTAGCTTTGAGCTTAGTTTTAAAGGGTTTTAATTATATTTATTAATTTTTAAATATGATGTTTTATTCAAGAGCTAGTCAGATGAACACATTTGAGTGTGAAACATTGAATATCTGTTGTGTAACTGTACTGTAGGTCAGGAAGATGGCTGTCTGAGTCTGGTGTTGAAGTGGCTGTCTAGCATGTGTCCTAACACCCTTCAGTACAACTGCCCCTCTCCTTTCTTTGTCATTCAGAATGCACTACATTATCGCAGAAGATTAATAAAGATACTTTAAACGTACATACATTTTTCTAAATCCAGTGATAAGTCTTGTTAAAAATCTCACGGCCTCTTGAACGATCTTTGCAGAATATTTAAGAAATTGTTGACTTCTGATCCACTTTTTGTTTTTAGTTTGTCAACAATTTGATACATCACTTTCAGTAATGACAATTGAGTAAAAGCAGCTATTGTTTTTCAGCCCCCTGAATATGAAGGGCGAAATGCATGTTTTTAATCTAATTGTTTGCAAAGCTTGTTTTCTTGCCGTATGTCTTTACACTTTGTTTCAAGCAACACTGGCTGACAGCGTGGTCCACGGTTTTGCACACTTTGCCCCCAGCATTGTACTTGATGAGCTGGAGGATGCCTGTGCCATGTGGGGGAGGCAGGCTATGATCAGCAACAGCAGAGCTCTGTTGTCCTTACATTAGAAAACACTAATGTAGTCAATGGGTGCCCTGATGCAGTCATCTGTCTTTAGTATATAGTCTAGTAAAATAGTTTCTCACCTCTTGGTGTTTTTTTTTTACTACTATTATGTCCTGTGTTTGTGTTTGGAATTCAAAGTGACTCAAATTGAAACCTCTGTGGTAAAGCTTGATGTCTTTTTTTTTAATTAATGAAATACTCACTTTTAAAATCAGGGCACCATATTATTCCTTACCCCCAACCCCAGCTTACCAAACGTGGTAAAGACCTGCTGAGCGTGTAGGAGGTTGTTGGACGGTGCTCTGCTCACTACTCAGGAAGAACGCGTCCGGCGCTGGTACACTGTAGTTCCAGTGTCCGGGAAACTGTCTTTGGACACTGCGGAGCAGAATGGACGCGCTCCCATCAGACGCTACATTCTGATGTCAAAAAATGCCGTTGGGAGTTGCAAAAACTCAAAAGGGAAAGGTTTCCCTCGTCAAATGCAATGAAGCGGCGATTAACGTCACTGGGCTGTTGCAGAGTATATGTAGATATTTGTTCCAGACCTTCACTGTTGTTAAATGCTTGTGTGTACGTTGTCTGTAAGGGTTGCAATAATCAAAAGACACTAACTGCTTGCCTTGGACTTGCTGACTTTCTCAATAATGTGCTGCATGTAGACCGAGACGACCTGTCCCCCACTGCGGAGGTCTGGGACGTAGACCAGGGGCTATTATGTAAACTGAAGGAGCAGTACAAGAAGGAGCGGAAAGGCAAGAAAAGTGTGAGGAGTAAGTGCAGCTGATCCTCCGCATCACCGCGCAGCTTTTCTCACCCGCTATGACATCGCTGCTTTGTGCTCACCCGCTCTTCATCTCTGCGAGGCTCCTGGCATTCTGCATTAGGGGTGCAACCAACATCCTACAGGGCCGCGACAGGTGGAAAATCTGTTGCCCCGATAAACAACTTTTAGATTCATTAAATTCACCTTCGAGTGTCCTGACTCCTGAATTGACCATGCAGGCCATTTTGTCACTATTTGGGGTGGGGGGGGGGGGGAATAAATGGAAGCTTTTTATTTCCAAGCATGGTATTTCTAATCGTGACTTTATGGGCCTCCAGTTACAAATGTCATATTTATTTCTTTGTACATCTGTTAAACTACTCTCAAAATTAAATTGCATGAGGAATTGAATGCAGAGTGCTTTCACACTTAAGATGCATGCAAGTTTAAAAAGGGGGAGATTCATTTTTTGAAGTCCATTTTTGGTCATGTCTTTTTCATTAGAGAACAAGCATTTCGTCTTTATAGACATTGATATTTTTGTAGAATTTTAACCTATCTTTGGTACACATTTTTTAAACTTGATTCAGTGACAAGAATTTTTTTGTTATAGAGGTTGATGATTTTGAGAATTTATCTTGAATATTCTTTTTTAGCTTATATTCCGGATTTGAAATTGTAAAGGTTAGCTTTTGACCAAAGGGGCAGACAGAAGAAAAATGACAGATGTTCTTACTCCAGGCCAATTTGACACTCCAGCTGTTTGACCACAAATCAAACCATGATATGTCACTTAGTTCAGTTGTGAATATCTTGTGCTTTGTCCGTTTTAGATTTTGCACTATGACACCCCACGGTACAAGAATAGTTTCACAAGCTTTGATAAACCGTGTTGGTTGAACTGCTTGACTAAGCTCGAGTTGATTTAGGAACATTTTTTAAGCGAGCAGCTTTTTAAGAAGCAGTTCTCGATAAATATTTTTTCTTGAACTGAAGATTCTTGTGTCAGAATTTAAGTGGAAACTTGACAAAGGTCTGGTTGCCGGTATTTCTTAATTAGTCCGAGATGTCTGAAGAAGTCCTCGCATGGTTTATAAGTGCAGGGAGAACTGAGCATGCAACTTGTTTGTTGCACCCCTAGTATTTGTAGCAGTAATATTGCTAATACATGAATATATTCTTTTATTCAAGATCATTTTTTGTTTTCTGTTTTTCCGTCTTTGCTTTCGGCTAGTTGGTTTTATTTTTAAGGACTTAAAGGGGCGACGGCATGGCTAAACCTGCCAAAAAACAAACAGTAAGGAAAACCTCCATCGAAGTCCAAACCTCAAACTTGAAAGCAGTAATCCCCAGTCAGCACCTCACAGGTCATATAGAAGACCTAAAAACAGAATGAGAAGCGGTCGAACTTCCTGCAGTGGTTTAATTAATGGATGGTATTTAGCATAGATGCGAGTTTCATAGTTTATGCGACCTGGTTGTTCTGACTTTGTAATTTGTGTCCCCTTAAGGCTCCTTTCATGTACCTATTAAAGGGGAACTGTAGTGACAATTTCTCAGATAGTTATTAAGTCTCGGTAACAAAATGAATTAATTGACGGTATCGCAAAATTTGACAAATTCCCAATTGAGCATAGAAGCATGAACTTTGTGGAAGTGCTGGATAGTCGCCATGTTGTCGAACCCCATGGGCGAGAGTCAGCAAGAATTGTAACTTGAAGCAACCCTTCCTGCTCACTAGTAACGCCGAATGTAATGCAATGTTTGAGTGAATTAGTACAAGTTGTGCAGCAGACATTTCACTGCAGAAATGTTCCAATATGATCCGCGTACAGAGTTAACAGATAAAGTGTATTTACCGACAAAGCCAAGAGCAATATTTCTATTGGGTTAAAAAAATGTTTTCATAAGTCTGCTTGTATTACAAGGTAATTAGGCCGTTTCACCTCACCGAAAGTTCGGTCGTCTCTTTCTGAATTACCTTGAACTTTTGTTTATTTTGTGATATAAATTTGAGGTTTTACAAGTTACATGTGTACGTTTTTATTTTCATTGTGGTTTGAAATGCACTCATTGGTGCTGATTCTTTCAAACCCTGAAATATAAAAATGTCATTGCAGTTCCCCTTTAAATAAGACTTCACATGTAGGACTTCAAGTACAAGTAACCAGTGTTCAAATAGTGATAAAATAAACTGTAAGTCAGAGAAAATAAAAAAAATATTATACTAAAAGGAGACATAAGCCATGCCTGCTGTCCCCTTAAGTGTCATGCAACAGTATGCAATTGGTAATCATCTATGCTTAATGAGCATTTTTCAGAAAAAAACATTATTATAATCTGCAATATGTATTTGTGAAGTATTGGTGATTATTTTAAGTGAAGTGGCCTAACCTGCCTAACAAGCTAGAATGTAAGCAGGGAGTCCTGACTTGTGGTCTGAGCCCTGCAGGGGAGAGTAGCTGCTTGGCTCACTTGTGAAGGGGAAACTCTGCTCGGGCAGCAGTGATGGGGAAGCCTCCAACCACCACCTGCTCCTTAGAGTGACAGACTGCAGCTCTGAGTCTCCCACACACTTCCCTTCTCGCGCTCTGCAGATCCGCCGAGCTCTGTCAGAAAACTTGAAAAAGCAAAAGTGCCTCAGTCCTCCGAAAGAATTTTGGAATTATCTTTAGATCTCCTGATTTTACACCAGTTTCTTGACTTGTGATGTGTGCACATTGGGGCTCTTCTGAAAGGGAAATTGAGGGACGCTCTTAGAGAAAGTTGAAGTCGAGGGGCTCAGGGGGAGCAAAGTTCTTTCAAAGGCTGTACTAAAGGAAATGCTTCCAGGCTGCCATATGTACGTTGCCTGAGCTGTGGCAAGGATCTGGTGGCATTTGGGGGCCACCCATGCTATGCTGCGCTCTGGTAACTGGGGTCCCCCAGTAGGCTTTAATAGAACTTGGGGGATTCTGAATGAACCTCTGCTATTGACCTTGATTTACAGGGGTCAACAGGACCAAACTGCAGGACATGATAGCAGATCTGAGAGATGATGAGGTACCCCACATCCCTTCTGGAATCATTAATCAGTCTAGATCAACTGCTTCTCAAGTGACTGATCATGAAGGTTCGAGAGCAGAGGAAGGTACTAAAGTGTTCAGTTCTTGAACATCAGTATTGTCTGTGTAGTCCATATCACCTTCTCTTACCCATGGGATAATCTTTAATTTTACTTGGTTTTAATGTCCGGGAGGAAAAAGAAATTGCAGCCTGCTAAGAAAAGCTGCCTGGAGTTTTTTTTTTTAATATAATGTGTTTGTGGATTTTACTTGTGAGCCTGATCAGGTTCATTGCTACAGTGTCGACCCAGTTCTCGGTTCTGTTATTGCATCCTTTCGCCTTTTCCCTGCAGTTTGTACTCCTCCTTAACTGAAGGAGATTTTTCTTTAGCCGCAGTAATGCAGAAAAGATTTATAACTCCTGTCTGCAGTAATGGTGTTAATGGTGTTTTTCTTCAGCATGAAGTGATTCTCTAATTCCAGCTAACAACAAAATAGTGAGCACTGCTCCTTTGGATACTGACCGTGCTGTGGTGTCTGTCTCCCCCTCCGCAGTCTTGTGTTGCACTGTGTATTCTGGGATGTGCTGAGGCCATCTGTATGGAATCTGCACAGCTGCCACGCTGGTGTCAGCATTCACAGTTCACTTTCAGGCACTCCAGACTGAGCTGAATTCAAAACCCCTTGAGCACACAGCATTCGAGTTTTGCGTAGATTCAGTTAATACTTCAGTTTTGTTTTCATCAGTTAATTGCTCTTAAGCTGTCTGTAATGCAAGGCTGTGTTGAAATCTATACATGATTTTCTTATACGTTTCACTGACTGCTGCTTGGGATTTGCCCTTCATTACAGAATGCTTTTAAATTAGGGGATTATTCTGTTGGGTGTGGGGTGATTGTTTTTTATTTTAAAAGTGGTTTTATAGCTACTGTAGTGTAGTGTGTTAAACGAGTATAATATGCTGTCTTTTTCTATGTGTGTGTGGAGATTCTTTTAAAGTAGAAGTTTTTCAGTATTTGTTAAACTTTTGTGAGATGTCAGTAGAGTGCAATATTGCATTGAATTGCCTTTTATTGTTATTGCAGTCCTTATGTAAAAAGAGATTAATTTCCCCAAATGTCCTTGTGTTTAGCAGTCCTGTACCATCTCTTTGCTTTATTTTCCACAACAACAATGTTGGAGCCACCACCATTTAAGGAATGCATCAAAAACAATATATTGTATGGTTATAGTCTGAATTTGTGAAGTACTTTCCAAAAGTATAATTCAAGCATCATGTGACTTTTCATTACTCACTACCATGCTTAAATTAGAGTATAAACGTTTTATTGTGTTCAATTCATACAGCTTTTTTTCTACTTCTTTTGAAAGAAATTCATAGACGTTTCAACCTGTGTTTACTTGAATGTCTTAACTCTTTCTTGAGCGTCAGCATGTTTACTACGTCTTGTTTCAATTTTCCTTTTTTTAGCCGAGCCTTTAACGTTTCCATCTGGAGGTGGCAAATCGTTCATTATGGGTTCTGATGACGTCCTGGAAAGTGTCCTGGGCCTGGGAGACTTGGCAGATCTGACCGTTTCGAACGACGCCGATTACAGCTATGACGTGAGTCCTCCTGTGCCACTCCAGTGCAGCTTTACTGCATTGTTGTCTCCACAGTCACGCTGTGCACCTCAGAATGTGGCACAAACTAAATAAGATCCTGAAACAAAGCAACTGTAGTGTTTTAATTAGGAAAGTGGGTTGAAACCTGGAAAGAATTAAAAAAAAAAAGAGAGAAGGGTTCATTTAGCTCATTTCTCTTGTTTGGTTAACAGCAGCTTAATGATTCCTAGAATCATGTTTCTGGTCAGCTTCAACAGTATGGCTGGACTGGGTTCCTGATGCTTATGAAATTCTACATGAAGAAGCATCTCTTGTCTGTCTGTAATGCTCCTCAACTTCACATCCATTTGGGTCTGTGGTTCCTCGTCCTGCTGATTTGGGTTTTTTTGTTGTCCCGTGGCGTTGAGAGCAACTTGTTACCAACCTGGTGAGGCAGGCCTGCAAGTCTTCTGTTGAGGCGCTTTCCTTTAGAGACGAGGAGAGGATTAGGACACGAATTTAAAGGGCACTTAGTGCTCAGCTGGGGAACCGTTATGTATCTGGGGGGGGGGGGGCACCATCCTTTCTCTCTGTTCATTATAGCAGTGGATTGATTTGCTGAAGAGGAATGTTGATTCGCACAGTCTTGTTTTTCCATCCCATAACAGCTGTGTAACTGCGGTATTCTATCTTTAGATGCCAGCTAATAAGGACGCTTTTAGGAAGACGTGGAATCCCAAGTATACACTACGTAGCCACTTCGATGGAGTTAGAGCCTTAGCATTCCACCCTGTAGAGCCTGTGCTGGTAACAGCCTCGGAGGACCACACTCTCAAACTGTGGAACCTGCAAAAAACGGTCCCAGCCAAAAAGCAAGTATTCCTCTCGTTTCCACGGCCACGCCCTTTTCCAGCTATCTCTTGTTAGAAGAGGGGGAGCTGCTTTTCTCGGTGCCATCATGGTAGATCAACTGCGTTAACGGTACTTCTGTGTTTTTAAATGGCTGTTACAAATATGAATATTTCACCCTTTGTGTGGGTGTGGTTTAACTGTGGTCAGTAGTAGTCAATAATAGTGGTTCTATTGGTTCATTATAGCAGTGGATTGTAGTTCAAGATAAGTACTGCAGCTCTTTGTAAGCGGCTATATATAAGGGCATTGTCTAATTTTTATTAAATGCTCTGATATACAGAAGTCTGTACATATTTATGAGTTTATTTAAAGCCACTTCACATGCTCATCAGACAGATTAAAATGATTTTAACACACTTTGATTTGTTTCACAAGTGCGTTCTATTAATTGGTTTATTTTCTTTTTTTTTATAGGAGTGCCTCATTAGATGTGGAACCTATTTATACATTCAGAGCTCATGTGTATGTATATGATTTTATAATAGGTTGTTTAGGAAACCTGTTTATTTTTAATTGGTATTATTGAATTGCATATATGATCAAACTTTGTTTTATGTCTTTTTATCATGTTTTGTGCTATTCCTCTGCAGTGTCAATGTCCTTGTATGGTGCATGCAGTGATTATTGGTTTCTATATTTCTAATTCTATAATTTTGTATTTTCAAGTTATTTTCTTTTCTTGACAGTGGGCCCGTGTTGTCATTAGCGGTTAGCTGCAGTGGAGAGCAGTGTTTTAGTGGTGGTGTCGATTCTACCATACAGTGGTGGAATATTCCCGGTTCTAATGTAGACCCATACGATACATATGGTAAGTATCTGGTTGTTCATTTACTGCTTTTTTTTTACTTTAGTTTGTGATCACTTTGGTAATAGTTCTGCCATTTACTTAATTGAAATTTTTTTCTCTTTTTTGATTTTCTCTCTTTTCTTCAGATCCCAGTGTACTAATGGGCACGTTGCTTGGGCACACTGATGCTGTATGGGGTTTAGCTTTTAGTGGTATAAAGAACAGGCTACTGTCTTGTTCAGCAGATGGCACTATTAGGCTATGGAATCCTCCTGAGAAGTCACCATGCATCAGCGCATACAATACCGACAAGGGTAAGTTTGACTTATTTCTCAAGAAACAATGAACTGTTCCATCATGCTTTTCGCTGTTGCTTCAGGCAGTTCAGTTTTCTCTTTACGTAGTGGAAGGTGGTGTAGTAATGTAACTGTATTGGCACTGTATTTGTTTCCTCGTAGAACACGGCATTCCTACATCCGTTGATTTCAATGGATGTGACCCGGCCCATATGGTGGCTTCTTTCAACAACGGCAGCACAGTCATTTACGACCTGGAGACTTCACAGCCGGCAGTGGTGTTGCTGTCACAGGGAGAAGGAAGTACGTTTTTAGCGTGTGGTAAAGCCAATTTTGATACTTTTGGGATACTTCCTGGGATACTTCCTGGGATAAAAGGGGCTTAACTGTCCTTATTTTCCTATTCTTTAGATCTGTGTAATTAATTAGTTGATGACACCGTAACAAAGCCGTATAGTAGCAGTGGCTCGTGTAAATCTAGTAACATGCGGAGTATTAATAATCCCCTTGATACCGGCCCCAAAAGAAGGTTGGACAGTGTTTTGAGATTTGTGTTTCTTTCGCTAATCCTTGCAGAATACAATAACAGCCGCCAAGAGCAAGCTTGTTGAGTCAGAAGGTGGAATGATAGTCCATTCGTTGTACATCAGCCTGCCAAGAAGTGCACTTGGCATAATCACTCACAACTAGCAGACATGCTCTGTGCAACAAGATCTTGTCACTTGAGAGAGATCCCGAGTCGGAGCTCAAACCGTCATTAAATTCCTAAACTTCTTTTACGAAATACATTGTTCAGCTGCACAAATTATTTTAAAGATTTAGAAAACCTACTGTTAATGAAAAACGGTTATTTGCAGACCCATTACTGATAGATCAAAATGTTCTCTTCCTCCATGTACAATGCTGCCAATATTATTCTTATGAACCTGCCTTCACCACGCCATTTTGTTCTGAGGTTTTTGGATATCCAATAAGAAAAATTATTTATTTTATGTTGAAAATATTATTTTAAAAATATTTATTTCATATTTAGTACAAGGGGATTATTAATCTGATGCATCGTAGACATAAAACATTCAGTTTAAGAAGACGAAAATGTTATGCACCATCTTGTATTGATATATAAATCTTTTTTTGTGTCTAACAGCTCTTCCTGTAGCTAACCACATACACAGGGTGGTCAGTCATCCCACGCTGCCCGTCACCATCACAGCTCACGAAGACAGACACATCAAGTTCTTTGATAACAAAACGGGTAAGCTTTCGTCTTGAAGCCAAAAAACAAGATTGTAAGTTGCTAATTACAGATCTGACCACCTGGTCTGTGGATATTTGTGTGGATAGATTGAAGCTGTGCCCTGAAGAGCATCTTGGGATGCAAACAGTAATTGAAGACTCTAGAAAGTGCAATTAAAGAAGGTTGGGCAGGGTTTCAGATTGTGATCAAAAAGTGTGTTGAAGTGGGGAGGACTTTCTTCAAGAAGGCATTTCCAACTGCTGATCTTTTTGTGTTGCGCGTGTTTTTTGTCCTTTGCTTGCCCTTACAAGCCAATTCAGCTGTTACTTGAGGGGAAAGTGGCCCTCTAGTGTGCAGTATCTGCAGTTGCAGAGTGGTTTGGGAATAATTGTAAATGTTTTTGGATGAAACTACCGGTGAATAAAATAGCAGTTACTTTCTCTTTGAAGCTTCCTATTTTGTATTAAATGTCTTAGATGGGCCACTGCAGACAAGAGGCCAGTGAGTCTAGGTTAGGTAAAGAAGGATTTCACACCTTGCCGTAGTAACAACAATATAACCTTCTGTGGATGAAATTAGAACTGTCCATAGTTCACACTTTCACCTGTTTTGTCATGCTGTGCTCCCCCCTCCCCTTTTATTTTCTATTGGTGTGACCTCTTGAGGTAGACATGCTTTTTGTTTCCTTCCTGAAGGTAAACTCATCCACGCAATGGTGGCCCACCTTGATGCCGTGACCAGTCTGGCTGTGGATCCTAACGGAATCTACCTGATGTCAGGAAGTGAGTGCTGCCTTCATTCCACCTGGCTTTACTTGTTAGAGGTGCTGCCCTCATCGGCAAATGCCTTTGTCTCGCTCACCTTCCGTCCTGTCTTTCCTTCAGGCCACGACTGCTCTATTCGCCTTTGGAACCTAGACAGCAAGACGTGCGTTCAGGAAATCACGGCCCACCGGAAAAAGTCTGACGAATCCATCTATGATGTAGCTTTCCATCCATCAAAGGCATATATAGCCAGTGCAGGTGCTGATGCCCTTGCCAAAGTATTTGTTTGATAGCATATACCAACTCTAAATAGCAGGTGAGCTTGGACACAGAAGAGGGATTGCTTCACTGCATTGAGTAATGATTACCATTTAGACACTACATCGGAGCTGCCTTTCCATCGGGGCCTCAGAAGATGGATGAGGCAGGGAGCAAGAGGTGACTTTCTCAGCAAACTCCTTGAATAAAATTCATTAAACTGTAATTACTGTAAGTTAAAAACAGGAAACCAGTATTTGTAGCCTTGACTGGGTTCGAACTGAGCTAATATCTGTTATGTAGGTGTATTTAAGTAAACGTGGAGTCTGATTTTACAACGGTCGATTATTTTGGACTCTGTGTACTGCCTTAGGGATAGGACTGTGGTGCTCTGCTTGGGGAAGTGAGCTCACAAAACAGCTATACTCATTCAGTTAGTGCCCTTCAGTTGGTTTTTGAGCTCACAGGTTGCCCTTTTAATCTTCATTTAGCATTAAAAAAAAAGGTTTAAAATAAATTGACTAAATATTTTAGCGTTAGTTTCATGAAACTTTTTTTTGCGTAAAAAAAATCTAGTTTTTATAAGCTTTTTTATATATAAATAGCCTGTCATGACAGTGCTTAAATGTTTGTTTAAAAAAAAAAAGTTTTATTCACAACAGAAGGCCCTGCTCATGTTGGTCTCACTGACCCACTGCGATGTAACCACACTCTACCCCTCTACACTTCTGAGATGATCTCAACTAGTCCTAACTTACGGATGCTATTTCTGACATTGCTTTAAAGCCGTCTTACAACATTATTGAGGACTTTAGGAAAAAAATAGAGTTCAGTTCTTACTGTGAACTCTTAAAAATAAATTGAAGCATCCTATCACTATGTGATATTTTTTGTACATCTTACTGTATTTACAAGTTTATTTATCACGGGTTAGACATCTTAATGCTATTGGCCTGTTATTTATTTCACTTTCTGTTAGTCTTTTTTTTTTAATTTTAGTTGAGTCAAGTGTGAAGGAGCCCAAATGTATCTGAGACGGGGCTCTAGCAGACAAACAGAAATTCAAAACAAAGGAAAGTTAATATAAACAGCTGTTTTAAAGTACATATTATTTTATGTCAGATAATGGAGACTGATCTTGGAACCGCAAGACAATGCTTGAGATCATGAAGAGATCTTTTTTTAAACTAGTTGGATAATTGACATAGCAAGCATTGGTCAGAACTTATGGCTCAAAATCTGCTGTGTTTGGTTATGTTTTCCCTGTTTTTATTTTTATTTCCAAACATGCTTCAGTTTATGGTGTAACAAAATATTTTTTTGTTTGTGTAATGCATGATTAATACAATAAAGTATTTTTTCTAGTCTTCCACAAAAAAAAAATTCTGATCAGTTTGCGAGTTTTGATGAGTTTTGTAAGGTTTTGTTTTACAAACTATGAATCAGCAAATTTTTAAGATTGTACCACATAGCAAAAGTACAGCTGTTGAAAAGTAATGTATATAAAATGTCTATAATAAATATTAAATGGTGTACCTGTACATCTTGTCTTGTATTATTTGCCTAATTCACCAGTATCTGTTCAGAAATAGAGATATGTTGCACATTAGTTCAGGACAGAAACTGGGGATTTTAAAAAATCAACTTCAAGCTTTTACAATGAGGAAATCAAAATTTCATAGCAAAATGTTTGGAATATATAGCCTTCAGATAATCAGAAATGGCCTAATATTGATAACCTTGCTGTTTTCTGTGGTTTGGTATTGTGTTTTTTTTTTTTTAAATTGGACGTTTGAAAGAGTTTCCTGTTTTATGGCCACTGAATTTGGAATTGCATAAATTAGTCCTTTTTTAATAAGATTAACTTTATTCCTTATTTCTGCTTTCCAGCTAAATCTGAAAACTCACTGTTAGGAGACAGATTGTTTTATTATCAGAGCGATAATGCTTTAGTTTTCTGCTTTCCTTGTAATGTTTACGACTTAGTTGAGAGGTTTTAATTTGTAAAACATCAAAACATGTCTTTGTAAAACAGCATGAAGTGAAGATTTAAGGTTGTGTGTTCTGGCCGTTTAAAATTAATCAGAACATCTGCCACAAAATTAAGTGGATTGAATGGTGAAAAGATTCCAAAGGATTTGCTTCTAGTTGGGCCTTTCCGTCATCTATATTGACATTTATTTTTGCATGCAGGCTGGTGGCACGGTGGCACGAACATAGAAGCCTTTCCAGAGTGGCCATCTTAAATTAAGTGTCTGGTGTTTCTATTTTTTTTTAAACGCTTGAAGCAAAAACGAGCTTTTTTGTACCCGAAGTTTTTTTTAAGTAAAATTGTTAGTCGTTCTTTGTTTATACCTGAGTATGTTTGATTTTTTTCTGAATTATACCAGACTTCATTATGAAAAGTTGTTCATTCTTTTTGTTGAACTCTCCAGCCAGTATTCAGTGTTTATAAGGTGGACCTCCTGGACAGCACAGTCCCGGCATCTATCTGTCCAAGCTGCATGCCCAGCAGTTCGGTTTGTGTCCCAGTTGATGCCATTAGGCCTTTTCAACCTGTTTCTACACTTTCTGTCTTTGGTTTCAAAATACTGTAATGCAGGTGTTGTCTTGTGAAGAAATTGGGAAAATCAGCCTCCTGCTTGCTTAAATTATTGCTGCCCTTTAGGATGCAGGTGGGAATGATTTCCTAAAAAGGACTAAAGGTCTGAAACCCAGAAACCACTTTCAGGTTGCTTGTATTTACTGACCCCATCCAACTTCTTAAGGGCTGAAGCAAGTCAACTCCTGTTACTCCTTTATGACTAAAGAGTTCAGTTGGCATTAAAAACCAGGAGATATGACTGCTCTGGGACCCGGAATGAACTGTTTCTGTTGGAAAATGATGGTGCCAGTTGGAGGGACAAAACATTTTTTAGTGATGTTGCTACAGACTTGCAGGCTTCCAGAAGGATTCAGGAGTCAGTGTTCAGTCTAGCCAAGAAATAGACCAGCTGCAAGAAATGTCTGGAACAGTTGTAGTTTTCCTTCTGGTTCTAGATGTAAATCAGCTCATCACTGGCTTTACAGGACCAGTTTAACAGTTTCTCCCAGATCTTCAGGTGCTGTTGCTGCTTTGAACACCTGCAGACACACTTACAGTACTATTGATGAGCAGGACTGCCCAGCCCTGGGCCTATCCCCACACCGAACACTGTCTTAACTGTTGAGCTCATGTAGGAGCCCTTGCTTTGGAGTTAAGAAGATCCAGTGCAACTGGCTAAACTGGAATGTCATCTCAACTTGAGCGTTCCATAGTTACCTCTGTTTTACTGATGAGTTCATGTAAATATTTTTAAAATGTATTATTGTGCTCAGTTTTTTTTATCCAGATACATGGCTCATTGATCTGCTATTTATTTCATTGTAGGATACATTGATTGCATTTAGTTTAATAGTTTTCATTCCTGACCTGAGTAAAAAAAAAAACAATCTCAAGTGTTAGGTTGGATTTACACTACATCCTATATTTCTACTCCTTGGGCACACAGAACTGGGAGATTGTTTTGCACAGTTTTTTACAATTAAAAAGCTGTGCAAGTGACTTGTTTTGAAAAAAAGAAAACAAAGGATGTTATTAAAGGTAAGCTTTATTAGGCCCAAGTAAATACAACACTACAACAGTTGACAATACAGTAATACATTGATTGCATGGAGTACTCATTTAGCTTACTGCAGCTTGTGTAGAAAACAACAGTAATACACCATATTTATGACTTATTAGGAATGTAATAGTATTGTTGTTATGGTTCATAAATGTTTTATTGCAGTAGATGGCAACTTAGACTGTGGTGGCTGGGAATGGGGATGAAGACACATGACCTCAGGAGGTTCATTACCTGCAGTAAAAACTAACAATATATTCTTTATAGCAAGAAAAATAAGTTACTTACAGGGTTGAGAAAGATTGGGTTCCAATGTCCTCTTTACATCTTTTAAGTGCTTGAATTTCTACACTGTAAAATGAGCCAATCAGGTTCTCAATAAGGAGTAAGCATGCAATAGCCATTCTACCACCTGTGTACAATGTCATTAGCCTTTACCATATATGCCATCTCATAGTACATGGAGCCAGATGTAGTCTTTCCTTTCTTCCCTGTGTATAAAAAAGTATGAAAGTTTGTGGAACTCAGTCGGTAGATGGATAGAGAAACGAGCAGGATCCTACATGTGCTTTTCTGCGGTAAAATCTCTTTTAACAGTCGCACAGGGTTTGTTGCATGTATACCCAATCACTGTGTTGCCATGAAGAACAGATATAAATAGTGCTTAGGTTTTACAGTGTGTACCTTATTTGACTTGCTTTTCTATCTTGTACCACTATGTAGGATAGACCTCACATCTAGAGGTGCGAAGCATTTATACAATGCTATTGGAACAAGCCTGCTTTAAGCTGCTGTTGTCATCTCCTGGCGTTTCTCCTTCACCTTCCATCGGGGCAACTCCTGCTCCTCCCCGGTGCCCTTAGTTGGATTCCATGAAGTCTCTGCAGATTCCCTTAATGATGGGCTGCTCAAACTGCTGTAATCCCGTGAACTCCCTGGTGAAGAAGGTGTGGGAGTCCTTGGGCTCGGAGGCCATGGCTTTCAGATCATCCATAGGAGCCCAGGCTATTCCTACTGAGTACACCGTGATACCTGATGGGAGAAGAACAGCGGATTAGGGAGCCAGAAATCCCCCTGTGTCTTTGACCACTAGCACAGCTGAGGGAACTAGAGGACCTGACATGTGGCATGCATACTGTAGCTTGGGCTGGGGTGGGTTCTTTCCATTCACAAAAGGCGAGTGCAAATGGTGGAGTCCGTTGCTCAAACTCAAAACCTCCCATTCATTTCCAAACCGCTCTATCCGGTACAGGGTCGGGGGGGGCCCGAGCCCATCCTGGCAAGCAACAGATACAAGGCTGGATACTCTCTGGGTGGGAGGCCAGTCCATCACGAGCTCCCTATTTCCTACATGTGTAATTGTTAGTTTTACTCTTGAGCTTGTGATGGATTTGATAGACTTGCTGCCCCTCTTCCACCTTGACCTGCTCCCGCTCGCAAGCAAAGCGATTCTGCTGAGCTCAGCTTACCTTCCTTCTGCGCTGCGAGAGCTGGGCCCGCCACATCATCGTAGGACTGGCCGTCCGTGATGACAACCAGGAAGTTCTTGCTGGCTCCGCTCTTGTGGGGGTTGTACAGGCTGCTGACCGAGAAAGTGATGGCGTCTCCGGTAGCCGTCCCGCCACTCATGTAGCGCACTGCCCGAATGGCTGCAAGGACATCGTCCTTATTACTGTGATCACTGAAGCCAAATTCCATTTTCTGGTCGTAAGTGAACTGGATCACTCCAATCCTGGCCCCGGTGTCCGAGACCTCGAAGGCGCTGGCGATGCTGGCGATGAACTCCAACACCAGGCGGAAGTTATTGTCTCCCACGCTACTAGACCCATCCAGGAGGAAGCCGATATTGACCGAGTTGTAGCAGGTCTTGCTGCACAGAAGCTGGTCCACACTGCAGAGCTTCTGTGCCAGAGGCTTCACATACTTGGTGGTACTGAACCAGCTGGGCATGGAGTAGGAAAAGAAGCCATTGTCTCTGCAAACAGCCTGGGGTTGGAGGAGGCACAAATGGAAACAAAATGTAAAGCGGTATTCTTCCAAATTTTCTTTTTTTTACAATTCACTATGAAGTAGGCAGTACTGTAGTTCTTTTTTAGTTCACGTAGGGAGCTGCTTCAGCATGCGCAGGCTGCAAAGGAACAAGTAAAGGTTTATTCCGCGCTGAAAAGAGAAGATAGGAAACAACGTTTCAGCTGTGGAGCCTTGTTTGGGTGTGAGTTCAAAGTTTTTACTTTTTACAAATCCCACAATCTTAAAATTAGGTTCTATAGTGAGATTGAGGGTTGAGATTGCTAGAGCTGTCACTGAATATCAAGGCTCTGATAGCTTTAGAGGCATCTAGCAGTAGCTCCTCAGTGCAGTTGGCAGACACTGTGCAGTCAGAGAGGGATCTGTAAAGAAATATTACGTTGATTTGTGCTTCAGCATTACCAAAGCTGCAGAACATTCAAACAATGCAGTATTTCAGATTTTATGCCAGAAATTTAAAATAAAAGGCAGCATGGGTATTCAACTTGAGTTTTAGTCAAAATATTCCATTTTAGGATCCTCATGCAATTTTAAAAGCAGATAGCTTTGGAATCTGGTCTTGCAGTTTACGTCTAAGAGCATCTTCGTGCTGCTGTTTATCCAAGAGGCGGGTCGGGCGGAAGGCGTTATGGAGACCGATGGCGGCGGCTCGCCGGTTGCCGTCACCTTCTGCACAAAGGCCTGGTCCTGCACCACGCCCAGCTCCTCCGGCGTCGGCCTGGCCACGGAAACAAAGAAGACGTTGATACCACTTTCCCTCGCCAGAGTAGCGGCCTCCTCGATGTCGTCCGAGGGCCAGCCATCAACGAACACCATGATCACGCGAGGCAGGCCCTTGCGCATCCCGTTCTCCGAGCTGAAGAATGTCTCCACAGTGTGCCTCAGGGCTTTGCCTGCAATACACACACAAACGCACAATGTGTAGGGGTACTGGCAACATCTGTCTCTCTCAGTGATCATTTTCGTACACTCAAACATGAATTCAGTGCAGGAGATAATTACCTGTGTTGGTATTTCCACCTCTGAAACCCATTTCTTTAATGGCAAAAATCACATCCTTTGGTTGAGTAAAGCTATTAAGGTGAAACTCAGTTTTGGGGTTCTCACTGGAGGAGAGAAAGAGCAGAGTCAGAAAACAAAGCACTTTGACCCCTGTTGCCTTTATACCATCCCTGATCCAATACGGCACTCACAGGGCTGGAAGTCACCTGCAGTATTACTGTAAATGTTACTGATCCTGGTCTACCACTCATTACCATCCATCCTACTGGGTCATCCGCAGTTTGAGTACACGTGAGCTATGCCATGACCACAAACGCCGTGGTCTGCGGATACATAACGATGGACAGACAAAGTCACAGAGCCGGAATGGGAGCAGTTTGCGTACCGACCCCAGAGGGGGGACAACCAGAAAAAAAAACCCTGCTAATTAAGTTTGTTTGAACATAAGAAAGGGTCCGGAGCTCGTTTTCCGTGGGAGAATGCGGTGAGGAGCTGTGTGAGTGTGTGGGCTACAAGGAGAAGCAGCAGAGCTTCATGCCACACTGAAGGGTAAAAGGAAATACATCCCAGGTTTTGCTGTGAAGAAAACTAAAGAAAGAAAAGGTGGCGATGAACGGAGGGAAGGTGAATGAGAAACAGTGCAACACAAGTCATTCTTTTTGCTTTTCAGGGTGGAATTAATCTCTGCTTTTAATATTTATGATGAAACAGAAACGTACCAAATTTTTCCTGTACTGCCACCTGGGACTTTTTGATCTAAAGTTATTTTTTACAGACAACACAGAAATGGCCGAGGCAGACGGAGATCTAGGACCCCCCTCAGGACTCAGGCCTGTGTAGTCCCACTCTGAGCAAACCACGCAGGACGAGGTCTCGGGTCTGCTGTACCTGGCCTGAACGATGCCGAAAAGGGGTCCCTCCGGCCCTATCCTGAGCATCAGGGCGAGCTTGCCGATGAAGTTCTTCTGCAGGATGAACCTGCGCTGGCCGATGTTATAACTCCCGTCCAGCACGAAAGCAATGTCCACCTGGCAGTCTGCCGCAAAGGACAGAGAGGGAGTTACTGCAGTCTTGGGACGCAGTCAGAACAGCTGGTTCTCCCTCGTCAGAATGCCCTATGGTCTACCAAGGAAAAATCCCAGCAAAACGGTAAAATCATAGCGAATACAATCATAAAGCATGAGGTGGTCTGGTTGGGAATGGTACAAGCTGTAGGAAACCATGGTAAAGTAAAGTAATAGCATGGTGGAAACATGGTAAATCAATTAGAAAATCTTGATACAGTCGTTAGAAGTTGAACCTTTTGAGCAAATGTATCCACTAGAGGCAGCAGTATCATTTCACTGCACTGTCAAAGAGATTTTTACCTTTGTTTCCATTGGGAGAGACCTTTTTGGAATTTTTCTTTGAAGGCTTCTTGGCTGGTAAGAAACAAACAGAAGGCTGATTTTTTTTTTTGCTTTCAAACAAAACTCCTCTGCTTCTTTAGTTACCCATCACGATCTTGAGTCATTTTGCTTCGTCTTGCTCAAATCTTTTTCCATTGCCCGCAACGAGGAATGCTGGATTCAACTCACAGCTACCGTTTGATGGCAGATTCTGCTAGCAGTCACCATTTTGCAAACCAATATGCTTGTGCTGGTATTTACAGAAGAATTAATGTTATTTGGTCTTTCAAAAGAAATTCCCGGAGTAGTTTTTGGCAGGGCGCAGATTAGAAGCTGGTTTTGTAGAGCATATTGAAGAAGGAGTACAGAACTGAGGAGGTAAATCGGTCAGGTTTCTGAGTTGCACATACCTGCTTCTGGGAGCGCTGTAGCACCGAGCTGACCGGATACCTCCATTGTCTGGCCAACAGCTTCTAGAAGAGACAGGTCAGTAAATCATCGTGAGGACTAGACTCCCTCTGTGAGTATATGATTGACAGTATGCCCGTGTTTTAGAATTAATACCTACTGTATATTAATATGCCAAAGGGTATTGCACTTAACCCCTGGAATGCACAAGAAAACGTGAGCTGGTCTGAACATCTGCACACCACAGCATCAATCATTCAATTAAAAAAATAATGAAAACTTTATTGCTTCTGCTTCATTTACTTTAATTTGATTGAAGGAAAGTCCATTAGAAATTCAGACACTTCTGTGAAATTTTGACAGTTCGTTCCTAATCGTGCTACATAACTCCCCTGTGATCAAATGCAGAACAACATATACAGTATGATATTAAATACATTAATGAACCAATTCCATTCCCAAAAGTGAGCTGAAGCTGGGAACTGATGTTTGGGTGGAGACTGTTTAAAATGAATAACGTGGATGCCTATAACGCAAATTAGTAATTAATCAAGGGGAACTGCTAAACAAATTCTAGTGACTGGAAGAAAAAGAACTTTAAATACAAAAGCACAGAATCGCTGTAAGAAAAGAAATGTGTCTATTAAGAAAAGGAAAACTATCACACAGCTTACGGTTCTAAACTAAGAAACTAAGTGATGAAAATGCTAAAACATGAAACGAACATTTGACGATGATTTTCTAGGAATTCTGCTCTTGGCGGAACAATAACCCTTGTTGAAAAACTAAATACGAGGGACATCAGCGCCACCTACTGGACACAGAGAAAGACGCACTCCATCTAGAAAGGGACTGAGATCTGACTCCATGGGCGTCAGAACTGAGGTAGTTTTCTCTTCCAGGCCGTTTCTGAAATCTCACAGGTCCTCCTGATACATCGATCACACCCCTGAGAGAGAAAGGAGAAGAGTAGTGAGGAAGAGAGGGAGATGGAGTACTGCATATTTATTTATTTAGCAACAAGATGGGCGCTTCCTTCAAAACCTTCGAAAAGTGTACAATAAAGCAGAAACAGTATTGAGAAACATGGGTGTCAATGTTTCTACATTATTTTTCATCCTCTTGACTAGAATGTCAGATGTCTTCATAAACAAAATTTAAAGTAGGACAAACAAAGCTGACTTGCAGTTGTAACGGAACTGACTGTACTTTGTTCAAAACTCATATCCAAGCAAAGATTTACTATCTTGGTTGGATCAAACATCCTTGAATGTCATTACATTGTAGCTTAAGTACATTTAACGTAAGCTCTCCCAGCTCAGAGGATGTTCTCCTGCCCCTCCTGTAGAAGTCAGCCAGTGCAGGTCTGTGCTGTCAGGACTTTGCTGGGAAACCCCCTCAACATCTTTGAGCAGATCTGGAAGCTTCGCTCGACTGGTGCCTGCCTAGTTACAGTCATGTGGTTAGAAAGACTGGCTTGATTTGTCTTTCATCAATGAAAGGCAGCAATTTGTTGCAGGTTTTGCTCATTATGGTGTTTGTTTGCTCTATTTTGTCTGTATAGGTTTCAGCTGCAAGTTTACCCCCTTCAAACACAGCAGTAATGCGAATAGAAACAGCCCTTGGGCTCGATATCCGTAATGATTATAAGGTCAAACAAAATGATACATTTTTTTATTTTTTTAATAAATAATTTTAGTATTTTTTAGTAAATTTCCACTAATGACCACAAAAACAAAACTCAACTTTATTTGCGACCATATAGCACAGAAACATCCCTACTCTTAAGACTAAAATGAAAAGACTTTCCATAAAGGAGGCTTTTCGAATCCTTCTGAATAGTGAAGTGATTGCTATAGCAGAAGCCGTCCTTCCTCACTCAGAGATCGTGCTGCAATAAAGTATCGCAGTGCGACTCAGCCAGTTGTACTGTAAAACAACACAAGTCAGCTCCGGTTTCAAACAGGCATCCAGCTAAACAGTGTCGGTCCAGCCAGGTTTTGCGTCCAACTGCCTTAAATAAGACCCAAGAACTCCTTGTACAGTATCCTTCAGTAACAAAATTCCTCTTTAACAGGGAAAAATGAGACCTTTCTTCCAGTCGTTGAAAATTGCCCCTGCTTTGAGAAATCCCCCTTCTTTGGCCAGACGACTAGACCATGGTTTTAAATTGAAGACAAAAGTACAGCGCGAGATTGAACAGGAGATGTACGTACTTTGGGCAAGTTAATTATGGAGTACTGTATAAAACCTAACCCAATTTGTTTGTATCAAGCAATGTGAGCCGAATTGCCTCCCCTTGTGTGTATTCTTTTACGTTCATATGAGATGAAGTCCAGTCATCCATCCATTTTCGAACTGTTTTCTCCAATTTAGGGTTGTGGGGGAGGGCATGGCAGGGCAGACAGACACAAACACACTCACACTAGGGCCAATTTGTTTTTGAGATGAAGTTCCTCCAACACAAATAAGTCAGCCACGTTGAAGAATGAAGTGGCTAAAATTCTACACACATCCTTATGGACATCTGGGGAATGTGCTCAAATATCACCTGATCCAGCCATCCTTGGGCCCTGAGGGTTTGTGAGTTTTCGGTTACACAGCGGGACGGAGGAGTTCTGTTCGAAGGGGAAAAAAATCCCAGCCTCTTCCAAAAATGTGACAGTGTGACACATTGTTTCAGTCCTAATCATGCAGGCTCGGAGGCGAGCTGCTCTCCCACAGGGGGCACTAGTATGTCTGTGCGTGCGTGCTCCGCTTTGAACTTGTTCCTCCATTCCTCTTCATGCTGTGCTGGCGCCTCCCGTCCTGTGTTCGGTATCCTCCACCGCAGCCAAAAGTACACTCCGATTCAAGGAGAAATAATTGTCTGTTTCTCTGGGTCGGTCAGTCTGGAGGGGAACCAAATCAGTCACACTGTACTCGAAGCCAGAAAACAGAGCAGCTAATGCAATTCAAGAGCTTGATCGGGGCATCCTGCTGGCTTCTGAGACCTCCATCCAGAAACAGCACAGAACACAGCACAGCTCTTCCTGTGCTCAATTACTGCTATGACTGGGTACTTCATACTGTAAGAGCATGGGCTTCTTTCTAAAAAAATATGTGGAGTTCGTATAATACCTTGGTAGTATTAAGATGCACATTAATTATTGGAACCTCGATGGTTTAAATAATATATACATGACCTCCAGGTTAATCAAATAAATTTTCCATCATCATTCCAGCTATATTTGCTTGGTACAGACTAGCATCAGTATGATGCCATTACCAATACTGTATGTTATATGGTCTTACTACGATGGCTGTAAAGTTGCATAGGTTGCACCAATACATCGTGTTTACGTCCAGATGACCAACAGACGGCGGTATATGAGAAGTTTCTGTAAAAGGTAACTTTCCTACTGTTTCTTCCGCTTCTGCTGTACTTGTACTTTTCTTCTGGATCCTGTGGGTTTATTGCTTGTTGTACTGTATTACCGTGAAATCATCTCAGTTTTTGTCCAGCAAATTCAAAGGATCAACGATTTTATCCAACGGTATACAGTATCTCAATTGAATATTGACTGCTCTGCAGTATGTTCTCCCAGAAACCTACTTTAAAGACGATTCAGAAACTGCGGTTACCTAAAAAGTTTTTTTTTTTCCCATCTCGACGATGAAACCTGTACCATACATTGTCGGTAAAATATATGTACAAAATAATCTGAAAAAGGTTTATAGTGACAGATTTAATTTGTTTCCTTTAACAAATATTACTTCTTGTAACTCACGCATAAAAACAATATATTTTATGACCAATATTAGCATTCCAATATTGGGAATTGAACACATAAAGGAACTGAACTACTGTTTAAGCACGAAAAGTTACTACAAACTTCGAAAAACTTAACCACGAGCTCTAATTTATAGAAAATAATTTCTTCAATTTCCTTCAAAGAGTAGTAACACTTCAAGGTCACACAATATGGAAAAAAAGTATGCAAGGAATTTTACATAATAACGCCACCAAGAAATGTTAGGATTGCTCCAGTTACTCCGACAGTGAAAGAAATGCACTCTTCATAATGATATATAAAAAACTTACTTTAAACCATTTTAAAAAAAGATAACTTTCACACGTTAAACGTCTCGCACTCAATTAGCGAATCTATAATTTAAAGATTGCATTGCATAATATTTTCCCGAAGGTTGCTAAAACCTTCGTTGTCCGGAGAGAAAACCTCGTCCCGCGCTTAATTAATTCTTGCAATTTGATAGAACCCAAACCCGGAAGGTAAACGATGAGGTCCACCTTGACTTCTGAAGTTGCACGACTCATAAAAAAAAAGCACTTTACCTGTGTACAGCAGCCCCGCAGACACTGGAGAGAGAGGCGTACACGGCTGTTCCGAAGACCGAGAGCTGCCAGGGCACGCAGCTGTCGGGACAGAGCACAGTCGCCGTTCGCTGCACCAGGTCGGCTCCGCGCGTCGTGCAGTTCACAAGGACGCGCACTGAGGTGAGCAGGACAGACAGGACGGTTTTATTTCCGCTGCCCATTATGATTCAACTCACAATTACCGGTCGTCGTTTAATTAAATGATCGAAGCTGCAACAATAAAAGTTTATTTCTACACCTGTCGTCGACTGAAAAACAATTGAAAGGTTGTTTCTTAGAAATCAATTAATGCGTTAATACTCCTCAACGACCTCATATTCCACACATTTTTACTTTTGAAACCTCGCCTGCAGAAAAAGATAAAGCGTCCTTTGAATATTCCTTTCTAAATAATAAGCGTGACCGTGAAGTATTATTTTTCTCATATTTCATTGCTTACATGCTGTATCGCATTTTATATGACCATAAAAAAACAACAAGGATACGTATTCTAGTGGACTGCTAATATAATTGCAAGCAAAAAAATCTCAAAATGAAAATATAAAAATACTAACCACCTGCTTCGGCTCCTAAAGCGTTAGACGCCAAAGAAAGGATACCTGTGGAAACGAAACAAAACGTCAGACCTGCTCGGTCACATTTGTTATTTATCGTAGGTATTTCAGCAAAAGATCTTAAACTTAAATTACAAAACAACAGAATCTTGGCATGGTCCAATCACATATCCACATGCGGTAGAGGCGGTGATTAAAGTAAAATAATGTACCTAACCATGATGCAAAAATACTTATTGGTTTTCGTTTAAACTGTTCAGAAATGTTACAACTCCGGAGCCCGTTTCTGCGAGCTCGATAGTGCCGGAAACCCCGGAATAAAACCTTCTAAGGATCGACAACAGGTGGAGTGTAGTGGCTGTTAGCGCTTCTGGTTTCCAACTCTGTTGTTGCGAGTACGTTTCCAGACTGGGAGTCATTCTGTGAGGAGTTTGCATGTTCTATCCGTGTTCGTGCGCTCCAGTTTACTTCCACCTTTTAAAGACGGGGTGGCTTGGTTATATGTTCCACCAGAAAGGCTCCGCTTTTCTCTGACAATTGTCGTCAAAAGATGGATAATATTCGTTCAAAGATTCTCAAAACAAATAAGCATTTACTTTATAACGTCAACCCTCGTTATTGCGGTTAAGTCCGGGAAAGTTTCGCGGAAGAGACACGGTACCTACCCAGAGCGTGTAAAGCAGTCAGCTGAATGAGCATGATGATGAAATCTCGCACCTGCAGCAGGAGAATCGAGCTGTAGTTCACAGAGCATCTGCCGAGAAACCAGTAGAAGAAAGACAACATACAACAGAAACTTTAACGGCTGTAAGCACACGTAACGTTTTGTCAAATGAAAAGGCATTAAGGTAAATACATCATCTTCTTCATATCCCCCAGTTTAACAACTCAACCAAAACAACAACAAAATGAAAGTCGAATTTATCTGTTGGACTGTTTTTTTACCTCAGTAACCGAAAGCAATTTTTTTTAATCCACCAGTATAAATATTTCAGGTGATAACTGGAGGACAAAAAAAATGTTTTTCAATGGGGGGAAAAATGATCATAGCAAACCTGTTGTTTAGTCTTGTCAAAAGAGAAAAAAAAATCCACTTGGAGCATGAGGTTGTCCAATTTTGCTTCAATTATAGCCTCCAGTCTCATATAATGTCCACAGTGCTACAAGCCAATGTATTCCTGGTTACTAAGCAACATGCCTTCAAAATCAGAAGAAGGGTCGAAGCATAAGAGGAAACTACAGAACCTCAGGTTCATTATCCCAAGAAAGTGTGAGGGGAGAAATTAAGTCAAAAGAAAGGAGCTTACAGACAGACGGTTTTCTATGAGTAAAGTCCTTCTTTAGGTAGTTGAAGTCTTGTTGAAATCCTTGCTGGAAACAAAAAAAAGAGCTAGTCTCCGTTCCCTGATCCCCTTTGTCTCCTCTGTGGCGTCGAGAACAGCCGGGTCTCTTTAAATAATGTCCCTGGAACATCCCAGACTGTCTCACATTCTCAGTGACATCAGCCTGGGGCGTACCCAAGGTGTGGAGAATTCATGCTGCCTGTTATGTGGTCCAGATCTGATGAGCCATGACATGAAACAGCTCGAGATTGAGTAATTAGGTGTTTTCCTGATTAAATACAAATGCTTCGTTTTGTATTTCCTGAAGGGTACAGTACATATAGATTATGTGATCTCTCTAAGTAGATTTGCACGTATTTTCCTTTTGATCTGAAATGACAATAACAAATTAGCAGAAACATTTTTTTTCATACTATCGGGTCTCCTCTTCTTGACATTTAAATAGGTTAAACCTCGTTTTCCAGACGGCAAGGAAACAGTGTTCTTTACACAAGCATGTGCAGATGAAAAACGAAACATTGAAAGGCCCACAGGTGAGGCCTAGCCATGGCCTGCCTTTTGTCTGCTTACTGAAAAACAAATTAATTGGGAAGAAAAGATTTCTGAAAAAAAAAACTTGGAAAAAAAGCTTCAGAAAATTTCCAGCTGAGTTTTTCTGATTAAGTACACAGCCCTCTGAGAAAATGGAATTTGTAGAGACCGATTTAAAGCAAAAGTTTGTTTACCAGATACTGGCACAGAGAATCTAACTTTCCCATTTTTTTTCTGTGAGCGTAGGAGCTTTAAAACTCTGAAGATGTTTAATGATGTAAACAAGTCTAAATTCAAAATAGTGTACCCACCTATCCTCCATGCAAATTCTTTGAAGGGTTGCTTTTCTCTCAAAATGGCAGGTTTTAATCCCATTTAATCTGGGGGAGGAAATTTTTACAAAGCTTTGCGGATCTCGTATTTTTAAATACAGTAGCTCCTTTTTTTTTTGCTACAACACTCGCTCCTGTTTTTTCTGTTCCCTGTCTGTAATGGTGATCTATTACAGTTTGTGCTGGGAAAAGGGGATGGATCTTTTACCCCTGTTCCGTAATGTGAAGAGAACACTCTAGAAGGGCAGTTTATCAGACACACCCCATAAGACACATAAGTGTTTGAACGTCTAAAAGTTTCCACAGAAATTCATGCATTTCATGACAGAAAAAAGAGGGCTTCCAGAAGCCATTTCCATTCCAAGAAAGTGACAGTCTTTGCTTTCTCAATGCATTATCCTGATTGTTATTAAATGAAACTATATACTTAAATAACTAAAACCTCTCTGTCTTTGAGTGGGGATTCTGTTAAGTAAATATGTTGTTACTAACTGGTCCGTTATTGAAGAAGGAAGAATACTCAGAAAATGAGACACTTTTGTGTTTTCCATTGTTCTCCAGCATGTAAACACAAGACAGTAACAGAGACACTGTGGTACGTTTGGCTTTACAAGTTGAAGCGTCTTATCTTTCTGCCACCTGGCTGGACTTGAGATCCTGAGATTTGATTGTTTAACGGAATATAACATTTCTCCCCGTCCCTCATCACCTTCGTTTGATACTCCCCTTCAAGTTCATGAAACGTTACTACCTCAAATACAGCCAGCCAACTATAATGGAACCAGCTATAAAGACAGAAGGACATTTGGCCTGTGTGGTAACTGCATCAGCCCTGCTAGGCCCCGCTGTCTCCCACGGCAACAGCGGATCCTCGCACTTGAAGGCTCCACACAAATAGGAAATAGAGGAAATATGGAGGCTCCCAACACCTGTCAGACCAACCAGGTGAATTCACCTCTGCTGCTGGGAGAAGGCCAGATTCTGGAGTCATCGTCTAGCAAGAGTACCGAGTATGAACAGTGCTGAGGATCTCCATCTGTAATACTCCGCCTGTACAATACGATAATTATAGACAGTATTGAATGAACTAGCTTCATACTATAGTGGCTATTAGCAGTCAAGGAATTTGAGTGGATGATTTGATGGTTTGGAAGTTGAATTTATTTTTGCCCACATGTCCCTGGAAGTGGCAGTCCAGATGGAACCTGCTATTAAGATGAAGCGGCAAAAAAAAAAAGACATAATAGAGGATAGCTGTATAAATAGAGGAAGCCAAACCATTTGTTCTTCCCTGAGATCAAAAATGTCAGATTCTGTACGATTCTGTGCAGCTGGTGCTTCTGAAAACTTTAACAAATGTTGTTCTTCTGCCTAAACTTGTTTTCTGTTTAAACCTCTCTAAGCAATTGTGCAAGTTTCCAAAATAGTGATGGGAACAGGAAAATACAAAATTGATACTAGTTTTACCCTTGAACAAAATGTAATAATGATGCAACAATTCAGAAAACTAAATATTTATTTGACCTGCCTGACTTCTGTCTTATCGCTGTACTCCACGTTGATTCAATCCACTAGTTACAACCCCACTGTACAGATCAGCCATTTCCAGAAGGGGAAGAGAATTAATAGTAATTGAAGGAGACAGAGCTTTGATGGCACCACCTACTTCACATAATTACAAGCACTTCACAAATTTTTCCATTTCAGTTATTAATTTTAGAAATTGTCAAAAACCAACACAAAAAACTGTTTTACTGCGAAATACGTTTGTATTTTTTTTTTAAAAAGCATGACCATGCTCTGGAAAGGAAGCCAAACCATTTCAGGTTAACTGCAAACTGTTGTTTTAAATTTGGTGTTTAACGAGTAAAATGTTTAATATTTTCTTTTTTTTATGAGAAACACACTTAGACTGGTTACGACTCATCTGCTTTTAATTGTTACTTCAGTGTGCCAGGATGACTGCAGAAATGTTCCTGACAGAATTGCAATTGATGTGCATCTGCGGTTTTGAGTGCTATGCCACTCTTCAAGAAAATGTGTAAAGAGCAAAGGATGAAGATGAATTATTCTTGACAAGAGCAAGTGCATGAAGCCAGTGCAAAAAACATTTGAAAAAAGAGCTCATGTGCTCTATGGATTTTAGGGGTAATTTCAAATACAGGATGTAATTCTTAGGGCACATTAGAGAAATGATTATTTTTAAGACCAAAAAACAAAAAGGAATAAAGCAAATAAAAACACCCCATTCTGTGAAAATGATTTCCAACACCAGGCAATGCATATATCCATAATGCCTTTCATGTTTTCATTTCTCATTAGGAGCCATGTGTTTTCATCAAATTTTCATAGACACAAAGGAAAGAGAAACACATTCTTAACTGGACTTTTCAGTAACATCTCCTCCAACCATATGTGTAAAATGAACCAGGATAATGTTCAGTTGTGGACTGTTAAAAGTTTTTTAAAGTCCCAAGTTTTACATTTCTGTTTTGGGATTATCTGGTTAAATATTTCTTGCAGGTGAAGACAGCTCTCTACCATAAACACAAATGGACAGATAAGAGTGTGATACTGTAGCTGCACTGTCTGACTGCTTGAGCAGGTGTGGTCGAGAGATATCTGGTTCTGTACTCTGCAATCCAGTCGTGGAGCATCTTCAACATTCTCAATTTGCATCTCTGGGTCTCAAAGGGCTAGCATATCCTTTGTCTATACCTGTTTAGTTAGGGGCCATAAATATCCCTGAAGTTTATATTACTTTTGCTTTTCTTTATCTTAGCTTTTACCATTGAAATACATCCGTACTGTATGGAGGTCATGTTTCAGCCTCGCACAGAACAACAGGGATGATGGCTGGATTGTATTGGATAAGACGGGGATGATCCCAGCAGCTGGGAGTCATTGCTCTGGTGATCTGGATATCTTTAGGATTCTGAGCACAAAGACAAAGTCAATCTGGTCTCAGTGTTTTTAGTTCAGATGCTGCCAGGATGTTTTGGATCTGTTTTTCTAGTGAAACAGGGTCTTGGTCACGATGAGCTCATGCTCTCAGCATTTGGCACACAGAGGAATGCCATTGGAGATGACATTTCCAAATCTTTCCCTGCCAATGATTCTTTTCCAGAGACTGACATCTTTTCCAACTCTTGCCTTGAAGTCTGCCCTCCTTTGGGATTCTACAAAGATTTTGTCTGAGCTTCACATATAGGAATCTTCTCTGCTTTCATCATATGAATCCAGGTTAGGTGCATATGTAGAAATCACGTAACTATATTGGTTTGGTCATGATCTTTGCAGTCCCAGCTACTGTTTGTAGTGTCTGCTTGTACACAGAAGAAAATATTATTAATACTCTCTTTTGTGTTTTTTAATCAGCAGAAAGCTGGTCCCTCTGGATGTGGTTGTCCAGGGAGGAGGGATGAGTCAGTCCATTTTTAGGGCACCTTTTTGTACTCCTTTCTCCAGAAGGGTTGAATTGATTGGATCCTACAAAGTGCTGCTCAGTTGCAGGATCAGCTGTCGAAATCCACTCGTGCCTCAACACCAGGTTGACATGAGCTGAGTACTGAAGGACACTGAAAAAATGTTGGGATGCCAGTGCCCTGTTTAAATAAGGCTAAATACATTTGATATCCTTCATTTTGGAAAAACCATTGCACACCAGCTTCCATACAGATCGTGACAGAATGTGACTTTGATCTAATGGTGCGGAGACCAAGACAATTTTAGGTTTCAGTTCTGTCCCAGCCATTGTCTACCTTTACAGCCATTGAGAGATTCCAGGTGTTTGTTCGTCTTCCAGCTGTTCTGGTGATGAAAACTAATCTGTCACAGCTCTGTGTACTGAGTTTGGAGAATGCAGGGCTAACAGGCCAGGACTGAAGGAGTTCTTCCATACTTCACTCTGACTCTGTAATGCTGACCCTACATTACCCATTGTCCAGATTCCAAATACATTTGAAACACGCTTTCCCCAGTTGCTAAAAACATTAGAAAAATCTGGACTGTTGGGAGAACCTATGGACACTACAGACAAAGCTTTCTGCTTGGTTCATATGGACTATCCTGAGATATAAGGTTCTGCTTATTTGTTGCCAATATTATCTTCTGGAAAGGCTGAGGTTCAAGCAATAATGAACCTGCTGTTCACTGACATCTCTAAGAAAGAGTCCAAAAGTTAGGAAATTTATTTGCTTTTTCATAGGAGTGATCTAAAGGGCCAGATAAACGGAGAGCCAGCAATCCGCACTAATCCCGACTTTGCACAGCTCCTACCTTAGCTGACAAGAGGAAAAAAGGGGGAGTAAAAAACAGCATTTTATATTTGTAAGATTTTTTTTCAGATTCAAATAAAAAAAGAATAGTGTTTCTTCCAAAGAACTGTTTTCTCCCTGTCCAATATTCTCTCTTTGACTCCTTTCTCTCATCCAAGCGTTAATCCCGCATCAGCAGGGTCCGCTTGTCTTTGAGCTGACATTGCCATTAAATGTGACCAAGAATACTCCAGCAGGCGCGTCGCTCCGCCTGCTGTCCGGGGGGGGGAGGTGGAGAACAAAGTAATGTAGCCAATTCATAGAGGGGGGTTATTAGGAGGCCATGATTGGTAAGGGCCAATGGGAAATGTGGCCAGGACGCCGGGGTTACACCCCTACTATTTTCGAGAAACACCCTGGGATTTTTATGACCACAGAGAGTCAGGACCTCGGTTTAACGTCTCATCCGAAAGACGGCGCTTGTTTATAGGATAGTGTCCCCGTCACTATACTGGGGCATTAGGACCCACATGGACCATAGGGTGAGCGCCCCCTACTGGCCCCACTAACACCTCTTTCAGCAGCAACCTTAGCTTTCCCAGGAGGTCTCCCATCCAGGTACTGACCAGGCTCACACCTGCTGAGCTTCAGTGGGTTGCCAGTTGTGAGTTGCTGGGTGATATGGCTGCTGGTCCCTCTCTTTGACTCCTGTAATGCTGTAAATAAGGGTGTCACATTCCTCCTAGTAATCCTCACTCATGCTGGTGTTTTGAGAGGTGGCAAGATGGGACTGTAAGAATATAAGAAAGGCTACTAACAACAGGGGTCCTGCTTGAGTAATGTTCCATGTGGTACAGGCACCACCTCCTCCAGTCTGCTAATCAAGCAATACGGTCTGGGGAGCTAGCCTAGGGAAACTGCATGAAGAATATCTTGCTGAACATCAGTACAACCCGATATTTTGTGTGGGTCACACAAACCCACCTGCCTCCATCTCCCCAAGAAATCAATGGGACACAACAAACTGTGGTAGAAATCAAAAGTCAACATCAGAGTCTTTAAGAAGTGCCGGTTCTCTGTTGAAGCTCGAAAAATTAACTCTAAACACCCACCAGAATCTGATATTGTGGGTGAATTCCAGCCAAACTTTAAAGTTACTATGTAGTATCATATTGGTATCATTGAGAGGAGTAAAAAAAAAATCAATTAAATCTTACTGTACGTAAAATGCTTCAAAACACAGTATACAAATGCCTGTTTTATGACATGGTTATGGTAAAACGTCTCCTAGATTAATATGAACATTGAAGATTAAATTTCTTAGGGTTATAGTGTTACAGGGTACAGTATAATGTGTGGAAGTTTTCCATTTATGGGATGCGCCTGCCCTTTTTATGCATTTAAACCACTTTTTCCACTCCTCTCCCCAAAAGCTGTGACATAAACCCTAAAGCCTAGCCTAGGGTTGAGGTAACCTCATCACCCCCTTTTATTCTAGTCTGAGCAGCTCTTTTACCAGCAAGACATCCCAAAATCCATGACTTCACTGCTGCCTGAAGGATCCCATGTGCTGTGGTAGCAATGCCTCTGTAGGGGAGTCATGTTGATTACATGTGCGCATCATCCCACTAGATTTCAGGCAATCAACACCTGGACTGCATCAGACTTCCCAGCATGACTTATGCCCCAGTCTTCAAACACCTTGGTGATGGAAGCCCTTTATTTAACCCTGGACATCCCCGCTGTCTGATTGTTAGCAATGTACCCTTGCTGCTGGTCACCTCTGAAACAACTTCTGTCAAGCTTGGGATTTGGAGATTTGGGCAGCCTTCAGGTTCCGACAAACTCCTTTTTCATCAAGCAGGTGACCATCACAAGAAGAAATTGGCTACACAGCCCTTTTTACTAAAACCCTTGGTGTGGGAAAAAAGATAAGCCTTGTGCAGCAGTGAAGTGACGAGAACTGACACTCTTGATTCTGTTCAGTCCAACGGCCTTGTGTCACGTTTACACCAATGTGATCCTTCTGAGAAGCCTGTTCCCACTGATCCTTTACAAGTATAAGTGCACTTGCTTTACTGCAATAATAACGGCTGTCAGACTGCCCTTGATGTTTATTTCTCTTGGAAAGAATAGAAAGAAAAACTAATAACAGAAAAAAGTCCTCATAACATCATTTCGAATTGCAGAAATGATGTGCAGACTGAGAATGCTTAATAGTATTAGCAATATAAAAGCCACAGTTGTCATTCTATGGGAATCATAATGAATTTGTCTCTTAATTAGACAGAAACTAATCTGCAATCCACTTTGTTATTAGTTTAACAGTCGTGACTGTGAGGGGAACTTGGTTATTAGTTTGCTGATGTGAAACTTAGTCCTACAAATTATGTCGCGTATTATTTCTACATCAATTATCAGTTATTTCTCATTTCCCATTTGTTTGCTACACGATAAAATACAAATTCTGCCGTATTGCTAAGTATCAGTATATATATAAAAAATTTCAAAGAGCTGTTAAGACAGTAGACCCAGTCAAATTACCACAATTAAGAAAATGACATGCAAATTTGATTATAATGAGCATATTCTGCATAATCCCATCAAGTTTCAGCTTGTCCTTGCCAACTGTGGTAAAATGAATAAGGTATAATAACAACCTTTCTCTGTTTCATGAATTGTTTACAGTATGTGGACTATAACATATGAGTTAAAACAAAAATAAACATTTATATCCTTCTAAAAGATTCCTTTTGAAGTTACTTTAAAAAAATGCATTTCTCAGTCAATATGTGCTCAGTCCCGATGAAGATTTATACAAGGTTTCTTCGCTTTAACACTAACAGTAAGGCATTCGTTGAATTGCGTTGCTAGAACTTAAAATATAAACTTACTCTTCCAAACAGTTAACAACATCCTCTGAAAGGGTGACTTGCTTCACAACCTGGATACCAGAGCATGCTGAGAATCCAGGCTCGTGTTAAAAAGAGAGAGGTTTAGACAGTCTTCCCGAGTCACAGTTCACTATGCTGTGTGTCCCGGTTTTGAACTGCCTTGTATACAAGGTCTTCCTCCATTTTGCTCTCTGGACCCTGTGTCCATGCTGAGTGCTCTGCTCTCCCTACACTCTGCCAGCCAGGCCCATGTCTGCAGAGATCGTAGCGGCCCTGCTCCGTGAGACGAGGCCGTGGCTCAGTCTCGTTGTCAGGGGCTCACGTGTCTGAGACACGGGTTCCCAAGCTCCCTTCTTTCGGAGGGCAGTGCAGGACAGGCCAGCAGGCCGGAGGGATTAACGAGTTTGGGTCAAACTGTTTTTTTGTCTGCTGCCTCCTTTCAGACTTCGGCTCATTATTTTCACAGAGAGTGCATCACGGGGTCATTGTCACCATTTGTGTAACTGCGGGTTCCTGAAGTACCGATTACTCTCTGTGTAGCTTTAGCTTTGTTTTCTTTTTTAAAAAGGGGAACAACCTTCGGACAGAAAGTTTCTTAGCTCGGGGCTTTAATTGTCTTTCACAGGCAAACACATACAGCTCTAGTTCTGTAATTCTACACTGTGAATTACTGGGATACTGAAATAAAGTCTTGAAACAGACTGACCCGCTTTATTGCAGTCAGCCCATTTAAAAGATGATGTGAATGGAAACTGAAAGAATACAGTAGTTGGGACACATACTGTAATGAAAGAGCTGATTTTGTCCTTCGTGACAAGGTATCTAAACCAAGGACCAAAGCATCTCAAATACGTTGTTCTGAGGATTAGGGTTTTTTTTCCTACTTCCTATGAGAAGAGCATTATACCTATTGAGTATCATCTTCTAACGGATCAGATTAAGCAAGTCGGTTCCACGTGATTTGGCTTCATTCTGAGACTAAAGTCATGTCATTAGTTTTGCAGTTCCAGTTTCCGTATATCAGCTAACTAGCCGGAGCTTCATGCTGAGACACACACTCTTGCACATCCTCCCACCTTCCTCTCCCATGTGAGATCTTCTAAAAAAACCATGGGCCTCAAATTTCAGGGGACTCTCTACGGACTCTCTTCCATAAAATGTATTAACAGAATCGCTGCTCCCAGTAAGTGATAAGCAGAAGTCTCTCTTCCCTTCCCTGTCAGCCCAGTTTCAGAAATATGCTCAACTGCGGATTCTTAATTTTTATAAAGCTGAAACATGATATTGTTTCGATTGACCAAAGTCAAAGACTCACCAAACGGTTGGTGTGGGAAACAAGGGAGAAGTCTATTACAATAGAAAGCAGAACCGGCAAAATATTTTACTAGCGAGGGTTTATGTGACTTAGTGAACATTTCGTGATAAAACAGTTTTCAAGTTTATTGATAAACAAAGAAAATACAAAAGACATTTTAACCACTCTGAAGGGCCAACAATTCAAAAACGAAAGAATTATACAAAAAATAAGCTATGGATTTATTTATACTTTAGTTATTTACTTACATTACAAATACGGATGCGAAAATCATGCGACCCGCATACACAACAGCACTGGCATCCCTGAATGGGGACACGATAGATAAAAGCAGATCCCCGAGGATATTCAGGGCTCCTCTAGAAAACACCCGAGACCTAACTTCCATCTTTCGATGTCAAACGCCATGTGTTCATTCAGCGCTGAAGCGTATCAAACATAAAAACTTTACACTTTGCACTTTACAAAAGGATCGGGATCAGTGACCATATATACATAGGTACAGACTGGGATTATACGGGATCAGAGGCGCCCGGAGTCACTGTGTTTCCTCAGGAACGCTTTCGTAGTGAGGTGAGCGCTGCTCTCGATCCTGGGGGAGGCGGGCTGGGCTGGGGATCCCTCATCTATGAAGCTCTCATGGTTGCCAGAGTCCACACCCGAGTCCGCTGTGGAGTCGTCGCCCTTCGGCCCGGCCTCGCGGTCCTTCTCGGCCGCATCCATGGCGACTTCCACGTGCTCGGGCTGGACCGGCCCCGGCTCCTGCCCCCCCTTTGCTGGCGGCTGGAGAGCGGGCGTCTGGGTCTGCCGCCCCCGCGCCCGGAGGCAGCGGAACAAGAGGCGCAGGTCCTGGCGGAACTTGGAGCTCATGCCCACGTATATGAAGGGGTTGTAGAAGCTGGCGGACTTGGCTAAGAGGCTGGCCAGCACGCTGGTGAGGGGAGGGACCTGGTACCCCCACGCGGACCACATGGAGATGACGGCATAGGGGGACCAGGCGAGCAGGAAGGCCGTGCACACCACAAATGAGACCTGCAGGGGGGAAAGGAGGGAGAAGCCGTGCCAGTGTCAAGGAAGGACGCTGGGAATCCTGCACTGCAATGACGCCGGGAGGCACTGGGGTGATGATTCAATGCCGTTGAGCACTTCAGCTTGGTAAACTGATATTTCTAATTTGCATGGATCATCCTCTAAAGACTTTTCCATCACTTTATGACTCTGCACTTGTCTACACTAATATTGGGGGTTTGCCCAGGCTTGAATTTGATCTAAGCCTTTTTTTTAAATTTCATCTGCTGCTAATACAGTATTTGCTGAGCCTCCAAATATTGTATTATCAGCAAACATCACTAGTTTACTAACTGTAGCAGTGGTCCTAATACAGACCCCTGTGGTACTCCACTAATTGCATCATTCCAATGTGCTGAGTTAGTAAGCTTTTTCAACTGAATAAACACTATGTAATCAGTGTTACCACCACTGTGTGATACACTTCGAGACTTTGCTTATTCAAATCCAGTTAAGGTGTTCCCTCCCTTAAAGGTACCCGCACGATCCTATAGTTGGAGAAGAAATGGTTTATCCCTCTTAATAAAGAAGCCAGAGGCCCAGGCAGTGTGGAGATAGGATTGCCTGGTAAAGAACTCGGTGAGAGCAGGCAGCTCACATTCACTCCTGCTTGGTGTCTTACCCGTGTAATACTGCGCTCCATGTGTCTCTGGCGCTCGCTGACGTCTCCTCCACGCGTTGACTTGTGACTTGACCTGACCATCCGGATGATGGACACGTAGGAGAAGACCATGATGATTACTGGCACAAAGAAGTTGAAGAAGAAGATGCCGATGACATAACACTTGTAAGACAGAGAGATCCCGGCCCTTGTCCAGTCGATCTCACATGTTCCATACTTGCGGGCTGTAAAGCACAAGAAAAACAGAATGCTGCAAACATGCTCTAAAACCGGAGAAAGTGGGGTGTTACTGTTTTTAGCAGCTTCAGTTTGTGCACACAACCAGCATTACTTTGTCTCATTCCTCCCAATTGAATTCAAAGCTGTTAAAAAAGTTTTGTTGATTTAACCACTTTAAGGTGCTTTTCCTGGTGTTGCTGGGAAGCAGCATGATAGCACATATTTGAAAAGAAAGCCTGTCTCTCATGGGAGATGAAAGCCTGTGTGATTGTGTCCGCAGTGATATAGCCGAGGTTATGACTGTTCACACACACTCGGTAAATACCTTCCCGGGAGAACAGCGGGAATGATCTGTGCCGAAATGAGAGTGATGCTCCAAAAATACAACGGAATATCAAATTTATTATCAGTAAGTCCAATATTGCAAATAAAGGAGTATGTGCACTCCACACAGAAGATGACCTACGCCGGAAGTGAACCCCAAGACTTTGAGACAGCATAACAAACCGTCACACCACAGTGCTGCACACAATGAAATATACCCCATTTCAATCTGGATTATTTCATGTGTGAGCAGTCAATGGTTTAATTTACAAAAACAATCCCAAGTAAGATTATTCAACAGCATTCTCCACTAATACATTTATTGTAATTATTAATGCAAAGTCATTCTTGACATTTTTATTTGGGAGGCACTAACCGATGCTCATGATTTTTTTTTAATTATGGATTTAAATTTAAATGATGGACTTCTCTTCTCTGGAGTGTTAAAAATGACACATCACTGCACTGCCAGATTCCCGTGAGAGGGGACAGGCCAGCCCCTCTGCTGATTGTCCTACCTCTGTAACTGCCCCAGCCCAGCAGAGGGGCTCCAGCCCAGAAGAGAGCCCAGAGCCAGGCTGCAGCAATGACAAGCCCCACACTGCGCTTGTTGACTCTGTAGGCTGTAGAGAAAACACGACCATGAGCAAACCTCGCTTGCATAACAATCAATTCATGGACTGCAGATCGACATAGACTTGACAGCTGGACGTTTTGTGGTTAACTAGCCAATAGAGGTGAACGAAAACGCCCCACAGTGGTTCTTTATTGAAGAAATGGGTGCTTAAGGAACATGTGAAGATTTGTTATTCCTAATGTGGCGTGTATCCATAGCAATAAATCATTCCGTACACATAAATATATATATATATTTTGCCCTATTATGAAAAATATACCCTTTCTGATGTTTAACAAACATAAATTAACCCGGGGCTGTACCTTTTAATGGAAACACCCTGAGAATGAGATGTCTTACACTGGAGGGGCCGTGTGACAGCGTTGCCTTGATAATCCTGTCAGCACCTTTAATAACAAAGCCTCAGCGAGACCTGGACAAGCTCCAGCTTGGCAGGAGCCTGGCATACCTTGGTGAGCCTGGCATCCTTTGATGTATCGGATGACACTGATGGCTGTCAGTGTATTGATGCTGATCAGACCGAAGAGCAATATCAGGAATCCGTCCACCTGGCAAAGACACAGCCCTCTCAGATTAGGATGAAGAATGAGACCTGAGCCAGTCTTCTGCAGTAATTCCTCAACACTACATCACTGCCCCCCGGCAGTACCGCAGAGCACACACAATCACAGGGCCAACTGGTGTTGAAAGATAAAGCATCGCTGCGCTGGAATGTCTCCCAGTCGTTTTTGTAGCTGAATTTATTTATTCAACAGCTAATGATGGAGAAAAGCCTGCACATCATGATGCTCAGGTGCTGTACATTAAAATTTAGCTTCAATCTAAATTCTCAATTAATCACCATTAGAAGCATAAGGATAATGACTGGACAGATTCCACAGTTCTCAGGAAAAACATACCTTGCAAATACAAAACAAGTGTTGTTAATTATAATTTTAAACAATGCAGCAAGCATGGGAATAAAGTAATCCTAATTGTATTTTGAGACTGTTCAATATCAGTTCAATAACAGGGTAAACAACCCAGTTTAATATCAGGTCTGATTGACATTCTCCCATTCTTGTCTTTATCATCATGAATAATATTAATTGATCTTGAGATCATGATTAGCTTCTTACTAACATCATATATTTTAACATACTAAATGTCTGATATTTTCAGGTTTTATTGAAAAACTAGATTAAAATGGATTTTTCTACCCAGAATATTCAGATTTCAAAATCTGCCGGCATGCTTAATACATACTCATATAGCCTACTGTATATTACATACATTACAATGTATACATGTATAATTATGTATATTGTGTTTACCTTGCAGGTCCATATAGTCTTTATGATAAATCCATCCTCTCTAAACACATTAAAAACCTCAAGAATCCCTCTTGAGTATCCAAAGATTGAAATGCTGGCATCTGAGACGGCCAGGTTGAAAGTGAGATAGTCCTGTGGTTCCAGAGTTTGTCTCTGCTTGGCCATGAGGAAAATCACGACACCGTTCCCAATCCAAGAAAGCCATCCTGGGAAAACGCACAGCAAAGAACAGTTGGGACATAACCAAGAGGGGCACCCGGACGGTCAGTGATGGGATGCTGAACAGATCCTGATCGTCTTTGATGTGTAACTCATCTGAAACATTCACACACTGAAACACCAGTGTAGGGGTGTGCACCACAGGTCCTGGAGAGCCAATGTCTTTTGGATTTCTTTCCAGTTGAGCTCTGAAGGGTTTAACTGGTGCATGCAATTGTCTAATTAGGCGTTGACATGGTTTCCACATCACTGCTCATTAACCAGTTAAAGGTGCCTATTCGAATCCTGGAGCACTATGTCTCTCTAGGAGCTGGGCAGACCACCACATCAGTCTATACAGTACCATCCATACAACTTCTAGCCTGTTTATCCAGTACAGGGCTGTTGGGGAGTTGGAGCCTATCTCAGCAAGCAACAGGCGCAAGACAGGGTACGGCCTGGACAGGACACCAGTCAGTGTATGCATTTCTACAATTTCATTTAGGAACCAGAAACGGTTCATGAT